CTACATGGCTGAACATCACTAATGTGACTGAAGAGGCTTTGGGGATATACCAGGTCATGTGTAAGATCTCCCAGTACATAACGAAAGTCAACCTTACACTCTCGCTTGGTAAGAATATCCTTAGACCGTGTAGACACTTAACGACTTTACGACGATTTGGCTTGTCTTTGATTTATTTTCTTGTCTTTGGTTTATTACCCAGGGTAGACTTATTACAGATGGAGCTATTACCATTCAACCGTTGCAAGGTCTCCATTAATACACATAGGACCAGAGGGATGAAACATTTCGTCCAAAGATATCAAGCATCGAGCAACGATTGAACCCGGGACCTGTCATATCATGAGCCTCCACCTGTAATACCACAGTGCTCTCGATCACATTACAGTTATCAGCATCTCATACGTGCGTGTTTCTTTATCTACTTTCTTACAGCGACCACAGAGGAACATGTAGTCAAGGTCACGCACACAACCATTGTGGTGGTCGTGGTTACAACAATGATCATCCTCCTTTCCCTAGTCGTGTTGTCATGGAAACGCTATGGAACTGACGTCAAACTTTGGTATCATGACCATCGCGCCGCACTAGAAACAGAAGGTATAATTTCGAGAGAAAAAATAGTAACTATTGCCAGTCCCTCCAAAGATATATAATTTTCACTATACTTTCGAACTTAATGCTTGGTATATTTGCTTTCTATCTCCTTTTTACAACTAATTCAGATCCGAACCGATAAGCTTTCAGCTGATGTGGATCGAGCGCTATACAGTGCGTCCCATAAAAAACGGAACCGAGAATTATCGATGTATTATCATAACTTAATCACATTTATAATGATTAAAAAATGACACATATTTGTGCAACTCATATGATGCATATTTAATGCATGAGCGATTTAAAACACTTTGAAGAGAGGAAACCAAAAAGTCATTTGGCAGGCGGTATCTTCAAAGAGAGAATAACATTTCTAGAAATTTCAATTTCTGCCCTTTCATATGACACCTCAATCAGAAAAAAATGAGCCAGGAATAACAAAGTTCTGTTTGTTTTAAAAAAGGCTTGCATTTCCATAATTTGATTAAACGAGTTCATTTTCTCTGGCTGCCTGCCGTAGCAACAAACAGAGTTGACAGAAGACTTAACTCTGTTTTTTTTTTTTTTAAATCAGCCATGCACAAAGAAGACGAAAGACTTGATGCATGGCTAGTTGTCAACGAAACGGAGATAAGTCTTTTGTCAATTCTGCTTGTTGCTACGACAGGCACCCAGTGAAAACAAATTCGTTTAATAAAATTACGGAAATACAAGCCTTACTTTAAACAAACAGAACCTTGTTATTCCAAGCTCATTTTTCCTGATTGAGGTGTCATATGAAAGGGAAGAAAGTTAAATTTCTAGAAATGTGATTTTCTCTTTGAAATTCAGATACCGTCCGCCAAATGACTTTGTGTCCTCTCTTCAATTTTTTTTTATCTCTCATGCAAAATATGAGTTGGATCAAAAGAAAGAAAAGGATCTAGGCTTTACAAATATGTGTCATATATTAATTATAATTTCGATTAAGTTATGATAAAACATCGATAATTCTCGGTTACGTTTTTTCTGGGACGCACTGTATATCTCTCTTTATATATGTAATTTCAATAAAGGCGTCATTGGAGGGACATTTAAAGTGAACAAATGATTCATTAAGTAGACATTAGGGTTAAGGTTAGGGTTAGGGTTAGGTTTTAGGGTTAGGGTTAGGATTTTTATGATGTCCACTTAATGTACCATGTAGGGTTATATATATGTATATATGTAGTATTCATACAGTTATCAACTGAATTATTCATACCCCTCGTATGTGTGATGTTTGATGTTTGTCAAGAATGAAAGGTGGACTGGTCGAAACAGGTCCTTTGTTAAATAATTTTAGATGTAAGCTTTAATATGTCACATTTGCACACTTATCGATTCTTAATAATGTTTCCATTGTTTTTAACATGATTTTCTGTCTCATTTTATTTAGTGCTTGTATTTTTAAAACAAAATATCCATGTACCATCATGACCATTGTAATGAATTCTTCATATAAATACACAACAGAACCAATATCACAACATGTGCTCGTTAAAAAAGAAATGTCAAAGATCTGGAATGGTCTCATAATTCATATGATCAACTTTCACAAACATTCTGCAGATTAAAACAATATGATACAAATATGAAAGGGCTTCATGGAACCCTATTTATTTATTTTTGATTTACATATCATTTGAGTTGTATACATTGTATATGCACGATGAACATACTTCAATTCAAAACTGCAGAATATGAAATGAATATGAAATGGGAAGTTGTTGTTCAATTCCCTTTTTCATGAGACAGTATTGTTTTCTCTTGTGTGGTTTCCTGTTCTATGATTACATTTCTCTTTGCACACAATTTTAGCTGATAGTGATCGATTGATATTTCAACTGGTTGATTGATTGATAGATTGATTGAAGGTTTGGTTAATTGGTTGGATGATTGGTTGATATATTGATTGATTGATATGGCAGGATGTTGATTAGTTGAATAGTAGAATGATTGATTAGTTGATTGATTGATTGATTGAATAGTTGGATGATTGGTTGATCGACTGGTTGATTAATTGATATTTTGATTGATTGGTATGGTAGGATGTTGCTTAGTTGGGTAGTCGGATGATTGATTGGTTGATTGATTGATTGAATAGTTGGATGATTGGTTGATCGACTGGTTGATTAATTGATATTTTGATTGATTGATATGGTAGGATGTTGCTTAGTTGGGTAGTCGGATGATTGATTGGTTGATTGATTGATTGAATAGTTGGATGATTGGTTGATCGACTGGTTGATTAATTGATATATTGATTGATTGATATGGTAGGATGTTGATTATTCGGGTAGTATGATGATTGATTGGTTGATTGATTGGTTGACTGGATGATGGAATGATTAATTATAGTTCATACATTGAAGGGACAATGAAACCCAACAAACAGCTCGGCTAAAATATTTCTTCTCTCTTTAAGAGTCGAAATTAACGTTTTAAAAGAAGTTAGGAACACCGTAACAAATATTGCAGTAACTTCTTTCTTTTCAATATACTGCTCCAAGCAGGGGCGTACGCAGGATTTTTTCAAGGGGGGGTAAGCGGACTCTTTTTTTTTTTTTTGGTCTCGAAATTTGAAAATTTGACATTTTTTTTCGTTGGGGGGGGGGGGTAAGGTCACTTTACGTTAGCCGTGGGCATAATTTTTTTTTTTTTTTTTTTTTTTAATTTAAAAAAAAAGAAAAGAAAAAAGAAAAAGGGGGGGGGGGGTTTTTAGTTTTTTTTAGGGGGGTTTACACACATAAAAATACCAAAGGGGGGTTTGAACCCCCCAACCCCCCCCCCCCTGCGTACGCCCCTGGCTCCAAGTATGTTGGGAGGGCCACAGCCCTATGAAGTCTCAATGCATGAGGGCCACAACCTTATGAAGTCTTAAAGCATGTTTATTTCACATTCTCACTCTTCTTCTACACCTTCTCTCCTTGCCCTCTTCTTCCTCTGTTTCTTGCTCTCCTCCCATTTATTCTACTCCTTCTGTTTCTTGTTTCACTCCCTCCTCCTTTCCTTTCTTTTCTCCTTCTCTATCTTTTTTTTTCTCTCTCTCTCCCTCTCTCTCTCTCTTCTTCTTCTTCTCTTTTTATACCGCGGCATATCTGAACAAGCCATAATGCAGGCTTTTCTTGCAAGTGCCTCCATTATAACAGGGCTCGCTGGCACAACCATTAGCAGTGCCTACGAACATGACGTAACAAAGAATAATATGTTATCGATTCAGTTAAGGCTTTTTGTACATCCATGATCAGTGACAGATGCAGGGAGATGGTACGTGCCTCCTCCCCGGCATAAAAAAGTAGGGGAAGGGTAAAGAAGATAGAAAGAAATGAAGATTCCTAGAGTGAAGAGCCCCCCTCCCCTTTTTTTTTTACTTCTCAGATAATTGTGTATTTAAAAGGGCATACCAAAAACCTTATATTTTTTTTCTTTTGTAAAGCCCCTCTAAAATGTTGGGACCCCCAAAATGTTCATCACTTAAGCTGTATCATAATGTTAAAGGATTTTTAATAGAAACATGTTTAAAGTAAAATATTGATGAAAGAATACAACATTGAGGTTTTCTGCTAACCACAGCACACCCAAATTATGTATTCTTTTATCAATATTATTTTTTCTCTAAACAATTTTTTTTTTTTTTTTTTTTTTTTTGGGGGGGGGGGGGGGGGATCTTTGCAGCAGCGTGTATCAAATTACATCCTCTTTCACATTATGATACAGTTTAAGTGAAGGCACCATAATGATTACAGTACACACCAATACTACTAATGCTACATAATAACTTTTCTGATTGATTCCACACCGTTTCTTTCACAATGCAATCGCATGACCAGAAATCAACTTTATTTTTAAGTATGACTTTTACATTTTGAAGGATATTGGTTGTTTGAAGAGAAAGCAGGAAATTATTCCACGGAGAATGAGCTGCTGATGCAAACGCTCTATCCCCAATTTCTTCTAGTCCGGGTTTTTTAAAACAAATACGAAACGTATTTATATATATCCGGATGCATATCAAGGGCAGTCCACCCGGATATGAAGCTAGTTTTATTGCAAGCAGAAAAAGTAGAAAAAACAGATCATCAGTGAAAGTTTGAGTTTCACTTTTGCTGTCAGCTATCTTCGCTCCATGCAATGGTTTCGAGGTAGCAGCTTGAACAAACCCTAAAGCCCACAATTACGTTGCAAAATCTATATAATCTAGTATAAACGATGCGTATCCGGGAGTCCTTGTACTTTCCGGTCATGAGATATGTTGTTGATTTTAGTACCACAAAGCAGAAGTAATATATCCATTGACTTCCGTTGTATTCTGCCTCCAAATTTGGGCAGATCTTCAAACACGATCGATCCTGCATACTGTCGATGCTCATGTAGGTCGACGGTCGCAGCATATCTCTTCTTAACAATCGTTCAACAAGAATTAATTTTATTTGAAGAACGGAGGCATTTCGATTCCATTTCTATTTGTCTTATCATATCCACCGCGCAAGGTTCCCAAGGCGGCTCTGGCGAGGATATTGCTAAATTAACTACGAATTCGTCAATGACTTGTAGAAAAAGAAGCTTCTCAGCTTGTTGAGTTTCGAATCATCTGTTTGGAGAATCATGAATGATAATATGAGGGACTTGGAAGTAATGAGACGACTTGTATTCCTACTGATCAGTGTTTGGTCAGTTCTTGGCAATGAGACCATGACTGAAGCAACGGATTGTTTGGCGGACCTTGATAGTAGTAAGTGGACGCTACAACTTGTACATGTATTAACAAAGCATTTTATTACATTTAAAAAAAAATATTTCATTCATTGTATTGTATTATGTGATGTCAATGACAAGGTTTATCATGAATATACATGTTAATTACTATTAGTATACTACGTATTATTGGAGCTATTGTTTTTCCCTTCATTTGCCTTGTTATTTTTTCTGTCTAGTCTCTCACAAGCATAGGCGCCGGAAGTGGGGTGGCAGGGGGGGCAGCTGCCCCCCAGTCAAAAAAGTGGGGGGGGGGGGCAAAACGCATTTTTGCCCCCCCCCAAAACGCCCCCCCCCCCCTCCAAAAAAAAAAAAAAAAAAAGGCAGTAAAGGAGTAAAGATGGTTGTATTTTTACCCAAAAGTACATAACAATAATAAAAACCAGAATTAAATCACATATAAATTCCATTCAAAGAAAAGGAAAGTTAATAGGAATTAAATTTCCTAAAAATTGCGCATGCCACCTATATTTATCAATGGAGGTTTTTATAATAGCGATACGCGCATATCGTGGACATACATGTATTGTGAGAGAATGTAAAAGCGTGTCTGTTTTTTGTTATATAGGGGTGAGAAGACATGAGCTCCTGAACGATGGCGTACTGATGGGGGGGGGTATTTTTTTATTCGATACCAGTGATTTACAAATGTTGCTGAAATGACATGAATTTCCAGTATTTTTGTAAGTCATACCTTTTTATGCGTTTGTTGGAAAATTAGAAATTCCCAAATTTACAGTCGGGCGAAAAATATGCTTATTTAGAAACCTTTATGTCATGGTCTGCAAATCCGCTGGGCTCGGGGGCTCGAGCCCCCTCACTTTTTGAAAAAGTATGTTACAGAGAAAAAGAAAGAAAGAGAGAGAGAAATATTAAGTTACCTGCCAACGTCACAAATGAGGTATCAAAATATGCTCATCTGACCGTAATTAAAACTTAAACCTCAGAGCATACGGACTCCACCAAGGGCCCTAAGGCGGTCCCCTGGATGCTCATTTGACAGTAATACCTTAAAAAAAAACGAGCTTCCGGGGGCTCTGCCCCCTGGACCCCACCAAGGGCCCTAAGGCGGTCCCCTGGATGCTCATCTGACCGTAATTAAATACCTAAAACCCCTGAGCTTCCGGGGGCTTTGCCCCCTGGACCCCACAAAGGGCTCTAAGCGGCCCCTGGATGCTCCTCTGACCGTAGTTAAATATTAAAACATCTGAGCTTACGGGGGCTCTGCCCCCTGGACCACATCAATGACCTTAAATAGGGCCCCTGGATGCTCATCTAACCGTAATTAAATACCTAAAAACCCTAAGTTTCCGGGGGCTCTGCTCCCTGGACTCTCCGCCAATTAGTGACCTGCCAGCGTCACAAAATAATAAGGTATCTAAATATGCTTATCTGACCGTAATTTAATGCCTAAAATCCGTGAGCTCCGGGGGCTCAGCCCCTTGACCCCCTGCCGAGGCTTATGTACTGGACCCCAAGCCAATTTACGCTCTACCTGATCGTTAATACCCCCACTTTGAAAAGCGTTCCGCGAGGCCTGCATGTAACGTGTAAGAGTGGTGGTGATGCAGATTTTTCTTCTGCCCCCCCCCCCCCTCCTTCCAAACTTTTTTGCTCATTACGTCACTGCCCCTGGAAGGTGAGCCCCCTGGAATGTTTGCCACCCCAATCCCAAACTGCTTCCGGCGCGCCTGCTCACAAGGCATAGTGCTCTAAGTCTCTTTCCTGTTTTCTTTTAGATTTTCTTTCAAATGTATTCCTGTTGCTTGAAAAAGGTATTATAGGGTGCAATAAAGAGTTTTGAATAACAGGAAGAGTAATCTAAAGTGCCGATTTATTACGACTGAATTTAAATGAAATGAGGAGATAATTCATTCAGCATGAATAATAAGCTAGAGCTTTGGAACCCGTGATGCCCCGTGATGTTTATATCTGAGCAGGCTATAGTAAAATTTAGAGGTTATATTTAAATGTTCGAGTAAAAGGAAAGGAATGAACAAAATAATGATATAGTAAATTATAATGATAATAATAAATATAATAACAAGAATAATAATTATAATGATAATGATAATAATAAAAATTATAATTAGCAGAATAACAATAATAATGAAAACAATAATAATAATAATAATAATAATAACAATGATGATCATAATTGCAATGTTAAAATAAATAAAATAACAATAATGCTAAATAAAACCAATCGATAAATGAATACACAAATACAGAAAAGATTATTACCGTGTTTACACAGTGATCTGCCTCGCGGCTTCAACCCTCTAGGCGGATCACTGTGTAATAATAATAATAATAGTATTGCTTATATAGCGCTTAATACGTCGTGAATGTCCGAGTTTCTAAGCGCTTTACATTATTACCCCAGGTCATCGGAATCTGGCTTGCCCGCACACAATGTATGCACTTTCTCCACTCCCTGGGGAGCATTCCAACAAGAGCTACTAGGCTCAAATTGCTAAGCATACCACATTGGCTGTGTAGACTTATATATGAGCATAAAACGTTTACAGCAAAGCACCAGCCATGTGCGCACATATCGGACACGGCGTCAAGCGACATTGCGTCCCTATGCGCCCCCAGACGGTGCTTTGCAGTACTTATTACAAAACATATGGAGCAAATTAATCATTATTTAATTGGGCGTGTTTTTTATACTGCATGAACATTTCATTCTTCAAAAGTTTTTTTTAATTTACCAACAGTTTTATTATGTTAATTATCATTGTCTAGGTCATTCCATTACTTAATTCCATTACAACTTACGAAATGTTAACTGATCGTAGATTTGGGAAGAAAGTGATGAAAATCTGCGTATTGACGGGTGGAATATGAGTGATAAGATGCTTTGGGCTAATAAGATCATTGAAGATTACTGACTTAACACTATACTTCTTTTTTCTAGTTTTTTCTTCTTGTTCTTCGTAGAAAGTGTCAATAGTTCACAGCCCTTAGGGAATTTTATTTGTCATATATCACATATTTGAAAGGTGTTGTAACGATTCAAGCTCTATGCTTATGTTTCATCACATCTGTGCGTTCATTCTTTAAACTGTATAATACTTGGAACTTGTCTTTGATAAACCATTGTTATATTCTTTTTCATGTGATGTCAATACAAATGGATTGTAAAATTGAAAATGATTTGTTATATTAAATTCTTTTTCATATGACGTTAACTCCTTGGATTGTGAGGTATTTGATCACCAGCTGGTCCCAGTAAGCGTTTGCATTACTCCACTCTCACAGATAAGCTTTCCTTTCTGGAAGAGACTGCGATCCTGGTGTTCTCCCCTGAGTGCCAGCACCGTGTTCTCCAGTGTAGGAGCGTCAATTTTTGTAGCATACAGTGGTTCTTCAATGACATCCCGTACGACTCCTGGAGTTTGGGCAACAACTCCGACACCAAGTATAAGCTAGAGGACAGCAACCAGACGCTCAATTTCCTTTCCACAGATGTCGACGCTGGAGGAACATACACTTGCGTGGTGTCGAATGGTGTGAGGAACATTACTCGAAGTATCAACATGAGTATCGAAAGTAAGCAGGGGCGGGAGATAACGGGTGAAGTGCTGGAAAGGAGAATAATAATGATAATAATAATATAGATTATAATAGTAATAATAATATCACAATAATAATATCATTGATAATAATAACAATCATAATGATAACAAAAATATTAACAATAATGTTATTATTGAGAATAATAAATATCATAATGATGATAATAAAAATTATAATAATAATCATGGTAATAATAATTATAATAGTAATAATGATAGTGATAACATTTTCTCTCTTTCTTTCTTCCCCCTCCCTATTTCCCCATCCCCTCTCTTTCTCTCTTTCTTTCTCCCTCATTTTCATTCTCATTCTCACTCCTCCATCTCTGTGCAGAGCGCCCTTGGATCAACAAACCCATTCCATTCGAATCGTCCAGCGCTGTGTGCAAGGATCAGATGGCCGTTCTTGGAGGGAACGCCTCCTTCTTCTGCCAGTTCAAGTATCGAAACGATCTTCTTTTGCAGTATAATTGGAAAAAACTGAATCAGACCAACGGGATATATGAAAAGGTGGACTTCTATGATATCCATGGCACGGAGTTCTCATATGGGAGCCGAAAAGAAGACGGAAATGTCACCCAAACTCAGACTTGTCAAAGGTAAGCAAGATTTTTCGTTTTTATTAACTTCTTACCAGGGGCGTATCCAGACCTTGACTTCAAGAGGGGCAAAACACAATTGTAGTGCGTATAGTTCAGCCAAAGGGGTAGCTGCCCACCGAAGCAAATTCTAAACAAGTAAACACTTCTGTTTTGCTTCATTTTTGAAATATTATTTTGTGCGTTTCCAATCGCTTGCCAAATGCAGTGCGTTCAAAAACGATTCCCTAACCTGCTGTATGACAGCATAGCTAATTTTTCAAGAAGCATGCCCTACCGACCCCCTACCACTTGGGAAAACCCACCCTGGCATATCTTAAGTATGAGTATGAGAAGAAAATTTGCCTCCTTCCCGGCAGAAAACCCGGCTCTTGAAATTCTGAAATTTATTCTGCTTGTCCGAAAACTTCCAGACTCACCACAGTTATCAAACAATGCAAGGAGAAGTTATGATTCATGTTTCATCTTGTTTTAATAACCTTTTGGCACGGATACGATTGATCAATTCATACAAATTTCATTTCATTGTTTGAAATCGATTTTCGAGAATCGTGACGTACATAATATATAAGGGTGATAATAATAATATAATATTGGATTCTTATAGAGCGCACGTATCGGCACAAGGTCCTCAACATTTCAACGCTCACAACATTTAAAAGGAAAACCTTCCTACCGGTATACATGTTTAGGCATTTCTTTATACTTGACTTCCTTCACACAGGAAGCCTTTAAAGATTTTGTCTACATGGCTGAACATCACTAATGTGACCGAAGAGGCTTTGGGGAGATACCAGGTCATGTGTAAGATCTCCCAGTACATAACGACAGTCAACCTTACACTCTCGCTTGGTAAGCATATCCTTAGACCGTGTAGACACCTTACGTCTTTAGTCAAGATTTTTACGACTTTACGACGAGTTGGCTTGCCTTCGACATGGTCACGAATCTACTACCATTTGATTACAACTTGATTATGACGTGATCACGACGCGACTACGTCTTTGGCTACGAATTGACCTAAATTGGATTCTCAAAGAAATTGGGATAGGTTCAGGCGTGAAGTGTTAGATGTCCATTTATATTCTGCCTAACTGGTCGACTTTAACCCATTGACTACTGAATGCTCCCACTCCCATAGGGTTTTAACACAGGAGCCCCCCCCCCCCCCCCCCCCCCCGGCTCCAGAAGGCAATGGGTTTATTACCCAGGGTAGACTTATTACAGATTGAGCTATTACCATTTAACCATTGCAAGGTCTCCATTAATACACATAGGACCAGAGGGATGAAACATTTCGTCCAAGGATATCAAGCACCGAGCAACGATCGAACCCGGGACCTGTCATATCATGAGCCTCCACCTGTAATACCACAGTGCTCTCGATCACATTACAGTTATCAGCATCTCATACGTGCGTGTTTCTTTATCTACTTTCTTACAACGATCACAGAGGAACATGTAGTCACGGTCACGGATACAACCAGTGTGGTGGTCGTGATTGCGACATTGATCATCCTCCTCTCCCTTTTCGTGTTGTCATGGAAACGCTATGGCACTGACGTCAAACTTTGGTATCATGACCATCGCACCACACTAGAAACAGAAGGTATAATTTCGAGAGAAAAATAGTAACTTTTGCCAGTCCCTCCGAAAATATATAATTTCCACTATAGTTTCGTACTAAATGCTTGGTATATTTGTTTTGGTTCTAGGACACCTACCCCCTGGACCTCCACCCCCGGATAACCACCCCCAATCAACTTCCCCCTAAGACAACTATACTCCGTCAGACAACTACCCCCTTGGGCAACCACCCTCTAGGGCGACTACCCCCCCCCCCGGGACAACTACCCCACGGACAACTACCCCCAGACAACTACCCCTAGGACAACTACCCCCGGTCAACTACCCCAAGACAACTACCCCCGGACAATTATCCTGTGGGTAGTTGTCTGGGGGTACTAGTCCGGGGGTAGTTGTTCTAGGGGTAGTTGTCCGGGGGTTGTTGTCCGAGGGGTGGTTGTCTGGGGGCAGTTGTCCGGTGGTAGGTGTCCAGGGGGGTAGTCGTTCTAGGGGGTGGTTGCCGTAGGGGGTAGTTGACTGGAGGTGGTTATATCCGAGGGATGAATGTTCCCGGGGTAGGTGTCCGGATACGATTTGTTTTATATCTCTTCTTTACAACTAATTCAGATCCGAACCGATTAGTTACCAGCTGATCTGGATCAAGCGCTATATAGCGCGGTCTAAACTACCGGTGACTTGCGCCTATACTGCAAGCGGCAAGGTTATAAGCAGACTATATAAGGACTCGCTCAACGGGTCGTCTGCGCGTTCGAATTTGACACAAATTCTGCCAATGAACAGTGAGCATGCGCAGTAGTGCTTTGGAAGAAAATATTGAATATAGCATGCGCAGTTCTGCCCAGGAAAAAATAGTATAGAGATATCGACTGCTACGAGAATTATTTTCTTAAAGATTTGTTTTTGCTATATATCTTTCGATATCAAAATACGTTTTAAACAGCTGACATACATTTCCCTCTCTCTCTCTCTCCGTCTCTCTTTCTCCAGAGATAGATAACAAACTGTACGACGCATACATCATTTCATGTTATGAAGGCCAGGATAAATCCTTTGTCGACACCATTCTCTGCCCGAGTTTGCAGGACCAGTATAAACTATTCATACGAGAGAGAGACGCAACATTCGGTTCTGGTTTGTTCAATTTTTATTTTTTAATTCCAATTCCTTCAGTAAAGTTCTGTTATTCACAACATTTAAACAAAATTACGTTGCGCCTACAATCGATGACTGAAGCATTAAGTGACTCTCACACTCTGCCGTGTAGGCCTACCGTTTGCCACCGTGCGCGAAAATGTCTGCGGACGGTGGAGAACGGCGAGGGCACACGGTGGTTCGTTATCAAAGCGGGCAACACGTTAATAGGGCGTCGGCGCTTATTTACACCCGGTGGGACCGGGCGAAAGTTTTGGGCATGTTCAAAACTTTGGCCGGCTGGCACCGGCCGCAAGTAAGCGGCAAGAGGACGGTGTTGAACGGTATGAGGACGGTATGAATACGTTATGAAAACGGTCACACTGTATGAACACGTTCACAAAACGCTCATAACCCGTTACAGAACGGTGATGAAAAATGGAGAGCGGACTGACCGTTGCCGTTCAAATCGGGGTATTTATGGCAGTCGTGTCATGACGTCAGCAGTCCGGGGACTCGCTCACAGGACGCTCCGAGCGGTGAGGGGACGCTAAGTGACTGGTAGGTGGCTGCTACAAACCCAGTGCACACGTTCGAGACCCGGTATGGGCCCGGTATGGAAACGGCCAAAATTTTCAACAAAAGTCAATCTGGGCGGTGAAGACGGTAGAAGCACGTTCAACACCCGGTATGCGCCCGGTGAGAACGGTCAGAAGATGGCAACAAAACGGTGAAAAGATTAATTTTATGAATTTTTTTTTGCGGCCGGGGACAAGTTCGCTCAAAACCCAACGTTCTGGACTCTGATGTTTTTTTAATAGCCCGGCAGGTGGACGGTAGGCCTACACGGCAGAGTGTGAGAGCTCCATAAGAATAACATCATAATGAAATAGATTAGATCGAACAAAAATATTTGTACCTTCTCTTCTTTTCCGCATGATGACTGCTACTTCGAGTGACAAAAAAATGTAGGCTTAAGTTTGATCAAAGTAAAACCGTTCCCCCCTTCTCAACCAAAAACCAAATCCAGTGGACACTTATTGGGGGAACATACAAGTACAATATCAAGATAACTTATCTTAATGATGTATTAACATTAGTAGGCCTAATCTAGATGTTATACTTGTTCGATTTCCTATTTACAACCACTGATCATGCGTTTCTTGGACAATATGTATATTCTGTTTCCTCATTCTGTTTGCATCATTAGTTGAAAGTGAAGAAATCGTGGAAGCGCTGACAAAAAGCCGCCGCTGCATCGTGTTACTGTCAGCAGATTTCTACCGGCATTCATCGATCTCATCATCGCAATCTACATCAGGAATGATAAATACTACAGCTGTACAACTGACTTCCTCATCATCATCCTCGTCGTCTCCATCATCGCCATCGTTTTCGGGGAACGATCTTTCAGGAAACGAATGGCATTTGTTTGAACTCCATCACGCGTTGGACACCATGCACCCAAACGTCATCCCTCTGCTCTACCGAGACTCCGGGCCAACGTCCTTGTCGAACACCGACTCGAATGCCAAGCTGATCGACCACGTGCTCAAGGATGTCACATGTTTAAAATGGAAGCAGAAGGGCGAGACGCGTCTCGATGATTGGGCAATGAAGCGGTTACGACTCCGACTACCACCGCGTCGACGAAGCAGTAATTTACCGAGTGAACAATCATCGTATATAACGATGCCGGTAATGTCAGCCGCAACGCCGTCGAATATCTCGTCATCGATATCATTGACGTCCCCATTATTGCTAACTGCTGAACGACCATATGCAGTCGATTCCAGCCTTCAACATTTAACAGCGTTATCTGGGCCGGAGTCATCAAGTTCTGGTGGAATCGTCAACGGGGAAGCTTTGGATTCATCCCGGCCGGAACCATCTCAGTCCCCAGAATTATCCTTTATGTCGATGACGACGTCTCCTCCGCTGTCGCCGACGGCGCCGATGTCCCGGCCGGAACCATCTCAGTCCCCAGAATTATCCTTTATGTCGATGACGACGTCTCCTCCGCTGTCGCCGACGGCGCCGATGTCCTTATCTTCCAGTTATGGATCTTGCTCGATCACGTCGCCTGATTCACAGGGTACTTCCCAATCGCCGTCATCACCATGCACCTCGTCCTCTCTTTTTTCGCCTTCCCACCTGGTCCATGCAAACGAAACTGACAATCTTAACTCGTTCCAAGAATATCAGCCGGATTCAAACACGTTCAACTCCTCTCTCTCCACCTTTCAATTCTTCTTAAGACCTAAAACGGGGCCCAATTTGATTGATAACGAAAGCAAGCCAGGATACATATAGTCCACATGGCGACACTCTCTTCATCTTAAAGAGAAGGATGAGTTCTGGGGAGAGGTGAAAATTAATTTATGAGTAGTACCATTGTTATTGAATTGTACCATTGAATGCAAGTGTGGAAGACCTTCAGAGAAGAGTCTCATGTCTCTTATGTGTAACGATTGATATCAACTCTTTGCATATAAATACGGGCCAAAAACCTTGCAGTACACACCAATACTTATATGCTACATGATTAACTTTTGCTGATCGATTCGACACTGTTACTTTAACAATGCAATCGCATGACCTGAACTCAACCTCATCTTTAAGTGGTTGTATATTTCTGAAAAAAATTATTGTATAATACATAGATACGAATGTATTATGTGTATATGTATATATATATATATATATATATATATATATATAATGTGTGTGTGTGTGTGTGTGTGTCACTGAGTATGTACCTGTATGTATATATATATTATGTATTTATACAGTTAGCAACTGAATTATGCATACCCCTTGAAAGTGTGATGTTTGATGTTTTTCAAGAATGAAAGACGAACTAGTCGAATCAGGGCTTTTGTTAAACACTTTTTAAAGTAAGCTTTAATATGTCTCATTCTCATGATACATACATCTGAATAAATCAATTTTTCACTATCATGTACTTCGAAAATTACAAAACTTCGTTAAGGTATGAATAATTCAATCGTTAACTGTGAAATATATATGTATATAAGTATGTATATATATATATATATATATATATATATATTATATATATATATTTACATTTGTATACTCTACCAACTTTGTAATGTCAAAGAATTGTACGATAAGTTACTTGGTGATTTTTGCTATATACGTTATTGTTATCAATATCAATTTAATTACTATCAAATTTACCAATGTATCATTTCCGAAATGTTGTACAGTTGTCAATTATAATATGTAAGATTACCATTGGCCGTCTTCTGAAAATTTAAATTCATTTTTAAACAACCCATATATTTTCACACATATCATTTGTTAATAATGTTTCCATTCTTTTTAACTTGATTTTCGTGTCTCATTGAATTCTTCGTATAAATATAAAACAGAACCAATATCACAATATGTGCTTGTTAAAAAACAAATTTCAAAGATCTGGAATGGTCTCATATTTCATATGATCTACTTTCACAAATATCCTACAGATTAGAACAATATGATACAAATATGAAAGGGCTCCATGGGAAAGAAATAGTGAAAGGTTATAAAAAGAAGAAAAAACACAGAACAAACGGGTTAATTCACAAAGGGAAAAATAATTATTAATAATAAGTTTGGGATAATGTATCACTAGAAGAGAAATGCAGATACCACTATGTTTCCTTTTTAAAATTCTCCTTTTTAGATTGATTAGAATAGTCAGAACCTTTGCTGTGTCTAATATTATTATCTCATTGCTTTTTGTGGAGGTCTTTATACTAATTGGATTAGTTGATACATGTATGTTAAGCTTAGAATGGTTGTTTTATTCTTATGAAATTTCCTTTCCACCCCACTCCAAGTCCCACCTACCCATCTCTCTCTCTCTCTCTCTCTCTCTTTGTTCTTCTTCCTCTTGTCTTCAACTTTTTTTTTCTTCAACTTCATCTTCATTTTCTCTCCCCGCTCTTTCCTTCTTCCCTCCGTCTATTTTCCATCATCTGTCCCTCTTTCTGTTTTCTTCCCTCGTTATCTTTCCCCTTCTACACTCTCTCTGCCTATTTCTGTCTCTCTCTCTCTCTCTCTCTCTATTTCACACACACACACACACACACACATACACACACTCTCTCTCTCTCTCTCTCTATTTTGCTGTGTCTAGTGAGTGATTCATTTTCGTTTTAAATCATTGCTCCTATATCATTGTATATATATATATCTATTTGTTTTATTTTTGTTTGTTTTACTTAGTTTCAGAAATCTGTAAAATATGTGATATTAATTGATTGATTGATAAAACACGAGGCAAATGAATTATGAGATAAGATGCAAATGACAGAATGAACATACCCTGTTTACATTTTATCTCGTAGACATACATTTTTATTGCATGGAATGTGATGTATGATACACAATTTTTAATGACAAAATATCCTTTATGATATTTGCACACAAAATGCTATTGCACGTAGTAAAGTTAAGAGTACGGTTTCGTAGGCAATTTTAATGAAAAAGATGAATTTCTTGTAGAGCGAACGACTATAAAAAAAAAAGGAATAAACAAAACATTTCAAAGCACATGATTTCCAGTATTTACTGGCACAAGCACAGTAAATCGATCTAACTTGCAAATATGTCTACTTACATCGTCATTATTATATATATCAATTGTGGATATTTCTGAAAGAATTATGCAAAAACTATTAACATTAACAGCGGAATTCATATCCACCCCGCCCACGAACGTGAGGAACAGATTAACTAGATGGAAAAAAATGATTTTTAAAATTTTCAGACGGTGCCTCTTTTAGGAAAATGGAATATCGTTGTGATAATTATCATCCTTTGAATGATAGCAATAATGCTAACAGTACATTCTTAATAGCACTTAATTAGTCAGTCACGCGGTGACGCTTACGGCGTTGTACAACAACTGAGACGACTATAAGAAACGAACTGATTCGAGTATGAGTTGGAAAAAGAAGGAAAAAAGCGAACAGGTACTAGTGTAAACATGGAAAAGGTGTTTGTTCATTTATTCATTTAGTGAGAGGATAAATTCATAGAAGAAAGTAGTCTAATGATCTAAGTCTAGGATTTGTTGATATGACGTTCAGTTTCGATATGTCATTGCCCATTCATTCATTTTGAATGATCCCTATTCCTACAGTGTGAACAATCGCCTTTGAAAACGCAAGTATCCAATCATATTCAATTCAAGGTACTTGTGGTTCTCTCATTCATTATTTCCTTTCTTATTAGCGCGATCATTGATACCATCCATCTCGTCGCCATGGTTACATGGTGATCCAGCTTTTCGGGTAGAATAGTTCTCTCTCCAGGGGTTTAACAGGTGTGTCTGCTTCCTCTTTTAATTCATTCAGTCTGTGCTTGATCCACTCCGCGTTTCTCTGAATGAGGCCTAAATCCTCCTGTATGCTGAGCAACTGCAAACAAAAAGAAGATAAGAATCGTCATCTCACTGCAAAAAGGACACTGCCACCATGTGCTGTCACTGGTTGTAAGGTCCTTTTAGCGGTGAGGTGACGAAATGGGGGGAAAGGAAGAATAAAAATGAACTCTTGTTCGATTTTTTTTTTTTAGAAAGGTCTTTGATATCCCAGGAGGAAGTTATCTATAAATGCTGTTCACTAAGGTCTTCTGGGGCCACATTAATTCTATATACATGCTCTTTACATTTCTGAATGACAATAGAAATACAATCAGAGCATAACTGATGCTGTTTTTGTCGTTGCTGTCGTCGCCGTTGCTGCTGTGTTTATTACTCTGCTAGCTGCTGATGTTGCTGTTGCTATTGTTGTTGTGACATTATCAAATATTTATCAAATTACAATAAAAATATATTCGAGCTTACCTTGTAGTGTCGAGTGTTCATGTAATTTGACTTTTCTTCTATTTGTTGCTGTAGCTGATAAAAGTCGCTCTGTACTCTCTCAAATCTCGCCATCCTCTCTGTCGATCTCTTCTCTAGATCTCGCAGAGAGCGCTGAGTCAGGTCGGTAAACTTCATGGTTCATAGGATGTTTGTTGTCTGGGGTGAATTCTGAAGAGAAATAATTGTAATAATGATGATCATAATAATAATGATAATGATAATTATGATAATAACAATAATAATAATGATAATAATAATAATAATAATAATAATAATAATAATAACTAGACATAATACTTGTTTGGAACAAGTATAGGTGGGCTGGTCAACTAAAGTTTGAAAACAACATAGAGCAAAAATAAGCGAGAAACTGCTTTAAAATTCTTAATAAACAATATCATGTAGATTCAGTACGTGAACGAAATTCACCTTCTATAGTCATAACACGCAAATTGTGAAATTTCTGACATGAGGCCTTTAATCAAAATTTTCACTCTGATGACGTAATCAAAATGAAAAATGGTTATAATTAAACTTGTAGAGAATTATCTTAGCTACAACATATCGAAATTTTGAAGAAAATTGATCAATATATACAGAGATACAATTAATTTTACATAATATGCTGACTTCATAATATGCAAATTCGTATTTTGAGTTCCAAGGCCATTATGATTATGTCACGATACACTTAATGGCAAAATGAGACATGGAATCATATCTCCGACTCATACTTTATCTAAATATGAAAAAAAATTGAAGGTCACGGTTCATTCCAAAGAGCTATAATGGGTTTTGTATAGGCATGTTCTTGCCCATATATGCTATGTATTAAAAGAGCTCGCGCGCACGGTCATTTATCTTGAATTACGCTCATCTTGTTATTAATAGTCATAAAGAGATAAACATGGTATCAAATTCCTCGAAAAAATATGAGAAATATGATAAAAGAAAAAAAAATGCGATTCTATGTTTTGTAATGGTGTTACGCGCGAAAACGCGCGCGCATGTGCGTGTGCGCGATTTTTTATAAAATGCTTAAAATGACCTGAAACGTATGCAAAAAAATTTGTGACGATTTTGAGCATTTAAAAATTTTGCCTTGATCATGATAAATATGAATGAGAAATAACCTTTGGTTATGAAGATATGATCAAGAGTTTATTTTCAGAAAATTTCACAAAACGGCGCCTAGATGACGTCATCAGTCAAGGTCAAGATTAAAAACCTTACCTTGCTTTGTTCATATGCCTTTACATATGTGTGCCAAATTTCAAGTTATTTGATTGAGCCATTGTCAAGTTATCTTGCTAACAAAAAAGTGGGTCAAAATAAGAAAAATAAATAATAAATAAAGGCAATTTTAACAAAAATATAAGGTGGTCTGTATTAGATACAGCCCACCTGATAATAATAATAATAATAATGATAATAAGAATAATAATAATAATAATAATAATAATAATAATAATAATAATAATAATAATAGTAATGGTAATGAAAATGATAATAACAATCATAATTATAATATTTATTAAAACAATAATAACACCAGTTTCTTATAGAGCGCAAAGTTTCAAATTCTAAAATAGAATAACCATGTCCTTATATTTATATTCGACCTCTCTGGAAATACATATTGTCTTTAAAGGGGTATTTTTTCAAAAGGATTGCTTGTATTTTAATTGGATGTTTTTTGATAGGCATATAGTGTATCTTTTATTAGATAAGAGATGGACCTTTCATGTCATAGTGATAGTAAATACAGGCATTCGATTACCTTGAAATCCCCTTATTCATCCCAATACTGTAGATAGGAGGCGGAAAAGAATCGAGAGACTATTATCATAGCCGGGTAATGTTGGAGCGCCTTGAGGACCTTGCAAGGTCGATACGTGAGCTATATAAGAATCCAATATTATTATTATTATTATTATTATCTATGATATGTAAACGGATGAAAGACAATATTATTATAAATTGTAACATGAATTGTAGTTCGTGTCTTACCTTTTCAACACGTAAACGCATCTATTCAAAGACCATGATAACCTCCGGCCAAGTTTATATAAAAATCGTTGCTTGTTGCGCTGGTGTAATAGCAATTTTAGTAATGACCTACAATATACAGCGGCTGCTCAGGTATTGAATTTTCGTGCATATCATCAATAATCATTCATCAGGCCGGGCACCCGGCATGCACCACAATTATATCGCCAAAATTAACGGCTGGGTTATATGCTGGATAAGGATACTGCTATCATCACCCGTTGCCATGCCAACTAGACGCGATGAGGACAGGTAGTACTGCGCATCAATTAGGATGAGGGGTAAGCATTGTGTCGTCATAATACTGAATTCACTTGGGATCGCGCGCTCACCGTTACGTTTCGCGTATCCGAGTTAAAAGCAATTAGCAAAATAACAATTTGTACTGTTCGTAATGCATGTTGTGACTATTATATTCTGTGTTTGAAATTAAATATACATATTTTACACATCAAAGTTAAATTAACGTTTGATAATTCATGTATTCTCCTTTCTTTTTTATTGTTTTTTCTTATTGCTAATTTTGTATTTTAGAAAGTGGTGTTTTTTCTGAAATTTAACAGGATCCATAACGAATATCTCTCTTTCACATGACTGGTGAGGATGCCTATGTCCTTTTAAGGGCTATTTAAACTCTAACATTTGATACCCATAGCTGTGCGCAAGGACTATCTCGGACAATATCCCACGATACATCTACCCTTGAGAATTGCCCGAGTAAAACTACCCCCTAGAACAATTTCCACACGGACAACAAACCCCAAAACAACTGCGCCCGGGAAACTACTGCCAAACAAAAAGCACCACTACCGGGACAATTTCCCTGCCTCATTTCCTCAGTATTTTTAAAATCAAAGTTTTGATGATAACGGTATTAATTGGAATTTATTGGAATCCAATGTGTTACTGAAACACAATAATTTCTGTTAGAATATTTCCCATGTAATATAGGATGAAATACATGAATTGTAAAAAACAATTAACTTCGGTAAACATTTGAATATTGATAAACAAAAGATATGCATTGATGGAATGACAAAAAAAATTGAAAAGGCTTAACTCCAGAATGAAATCCAGAATAGTATTTATTTAGATTCAAGGCAACTGAATGGTGACAGAAGTTACATACTCATATACAATACAGAAAAAGCATGTACAAAACAATATTGATCTGTCTTGTTTTCGTTTAGTGTAAACGGTATTGATTATTATTGTAATTCCAGAACTATACACGGCCAGTGACAACCAATAAGACTTATATATTATAACAATTTGTTTAAATGATGTCATACTACTAATAGAAATGGAAATTGTTAAGTTTTATACGGAGAAAATATGATATTTTCTTTTGTAACAAAGTACCTAATTAATCCATATCATATAATACATTCAGAAATTAACTACATATGAGAGTAAATTTCACACGCTGTGCACCCTGAGATCAATTCACTTTAAAGATAAACTTGAGTTCTGGTTTTAAAGAAAAAGAATAGGAATTTTCACAGAATCAAACGAAATCTACACTGAATGTTCAAGATTACAAATAAATGTCATTTGCCAATAAATTGTTGTAGAAAATGTATACTGGCTGAGTAATGAGCATAGAAAGATAAGGAAATCAAGTCGATTTTTGCACTCTCGCAAACAACGCCTCCTGTTCATCCAGGCGTGAACACATACCACACAGAAATGATACCAATTTATTTGGGATAAAACACTCTTTCATAAGATGTATAATAATCTACTGTTCATAGATGATTTTTAAAATAATTAGCAATTTTCTAGGTGTAAACTTTTTTTTGACTCACACGGTATAACATAGAAAATATTTATTACATGAATGAACAAAAGTTTTCAAAAACACCAGTTCTATTCGTATAATTATTGCATAGATTAAATAAACAACAATTTACTCGTGAAACAATCTTTACTCGTTATAGTAAGGCGAATTATATAGTCTAAGTGATTTGCTTTTAGGGTACATGACTTCACAGTTAAAATATACAATGAAAGATATATTACAAAATTATTACATTAAAGCTTCAAAAAAAGACGAAATACATATATATATATTTATGTTTTTACAAATTTAAACAGGTAAATGAGGTGGGATAGGGAGAGAGATACAACCTTGTTTAGTGGCGTAAGAAACGAGGGACAGTGCGCCCCCTCCAATTATATATAACCCCCTTAAAAAAGAGAAAATGGAAGAGTGGGAAAGAAGACCCCGAGCCCGACCATGTTTGGTCACCCTAGGCTTTCTTATTCACAAGTATTTTCCAGAGCTCCCTTCCCCACCCCACCTCCCCCCTCCACCAAAGGATTGACACTAGCGCCCTCTCAATCGCTTGACACACAGTAGGTCACATGCATGGCGTTGTTCACAAATATACTTAACATGATGAAATGATTGAATGGATAAATGAATGAAAATCGTTGTTGGAAAAGGTGTAGAAATTTAATCCATGAAAACAACACGCTACCCCCTCCCCCACACAAATAAGGGCGGACAACGCTACGCTATGCTACATGCATGGGGTTGTGCACAAATATACGTGACATTCCCTCCTAGTGTAGAAATTGATATATATATTTACATGTGTATATATATATATATATATATAATAGTTATAATAGCGACATCAGTATTTATACTGCTCTTCTTGCGGGCCCTGTAATCATTATTACTCCGGCAATTATTGTCAGTACTCATTAACACCTGGGTGGAGAGTGCTTAATGTGGATTAATGTCTTGTTGTTGTTTTTGTTCTTTAAATTAAGCAAGTCAGTCAGTTTATGACAATTATTGCCGAACACTATAACAACGAAGAAGTAAACCATCATCAGTCGCGAGATTCAGACTGCCGCCTGTGCCAAAACACTTAAACGCTGAGCTTGGATTCGAACCCTCAACCCGTGGATTGAGAGTCTAGTGAATGAACCACGACATCTTCACATAGTTAAATCCACTAAGCCCAAATGCCACCTCTTTAAAAAAATGGACATAAATACTACCCTCTCCCCCACCTCCCCCCCCCCCCCCCCCCTCCCCCAAGTCGCTCGATCAATCTACTATTATTATTATTATTATTATTATCATTTTGGGGGGGATGGAAATGTCTATAACAGGACAAAAATTACCCACGCTCTCTTTAATGAACAAAACAAATTTCATTAATTTTCATCAATTTTCATGTTGAAAAGCAAAATGGTGCAGAATTTTCATTCATCTTGCCAAATGCCCCCCCCCCCCCCCATTGTTAGGTACACACTTTCCCCGCTAGTATGGGGTTGTTCACAAATACACTTGACACACTGTCCGGGCATATCGTATATAACAGAAATAATAATAGCAATCTCCTATGTCAAACCATCTTACGTCATAGCTAGTCATACCATCCTCTGCTGTCACAGTACTATTCACAATGATAGCAAAATCACCATTCCCATCAGGCTGGCCTGGGTACCAATCTATTTCAAATGAAATAAATGGTAATGATTAGAATAATGATAATAGTGATAGTAACGATGATAATGTTAACAATTGGATTAAGAATATAAAAATATTAATAACAACAATATAATAAAAACAATCTATTTATAATGATAATGATATTTTTTTTTAAATCAATAATAATAACAACAACAACAATATACAATGATAATTAAAAAAAAATTAAACTGGACGATAAAATTCATTATTGGGGGATCCACAAACTACAAGCACTGCTTTTTAGTGGATCCCCCATTTCCTCAGCAATTGAGAATTTCTTGTAATAATTTTATTTTGTGCAAAGTGTATTTGTTGAGTTACCAGAAAAAGTTAATTATGTATGAAAAATGAAACACCTTTGTTTATCTTTCTGTTGGAAATTAAATAAATATGAATTGAATTGAATAATGGTATTAATGAAAGCAACAATAACAGCGAATATTGATAATGCTACTTATTATTATAGCACTCTTACTAAATTGAATTTTTAAGGGAAGGAAAATGAAAAATAAGAATATTATGCAACAAGTTAATTGGACCAATTGATAATAATAATGATGATGGTGGTGAAGTTGATGCACTAATATTATTAATGAATATATAATAATCATCATCATCAATAGTGATCTGTCAGTTTATGACAGTTTCAGTGACCCAATAAAAATTATATATATCAAGTGTCTCTCCAAGTCTCTCGGTCTTGATCCATCCGTTTCAGCGTTTTAAATTCTGTGATTACATCGTCTAGAAAGCCTTATTACGAGGTCTTCCCCTCTTCTTCTTTCAAAGAATACGACCTTCTATGACTCTGAGCATCAAGCCCTTATCATGCCGCATTATGTGTCCAAGCCATTTCTTCTGTCTCTCTCTAATCGTTTGAGTCAGCACCCGCCTTTCTTGAGCTCGATGCAACACCTCTTCATTCGAAACTCTGTCCCTCCAAGACACACCTAGTAATTTGCGCCAGCACAACATTTCGACCGCCCCCAATCGCTGCATGTCCTTTTCAGTGAGTGTCCACGTCTCTGCCCCATATAACAGTACACTCCATAATAATAATATTAATAATGGTAATAATTATGATAACAATGATAAAAACGTTCTTGACTTACTCCTATAAGAAGAAACAGTTCCTGAAGCATCTTTTTCGCAGATCCACGTCCCCTCCTCAAGCAAGTCGTTGCAATTCAGCCAAATTCGTCTAATGGATTCCCCCAGGAACTCTTTCGCAATAATGTCAGTTTCCTCTTGGCTTTCTACCAATAGCAATGATGCTTGTCTTGATCCCGCCCCACCTTGCAGCGTGATATTCAGGCTACCACAATAACTCTTTGCATAAGTCCAGGACGTGTAAGATGTCTGGTAGTAGCACTTTTGTCCATAGTGGAACCATTCCGATGGGCAGAGGGCTGGAAAAGTGGAAATTTGAAAAGAGTGCGAATTCATTTTTTTTCTTCAACATACTTTATATCATAGTACGAATTCTTCAAAATGCATTACTCACGAGGGTGTTTTATTTCCCAGAGCACCTATATTAATGTGATAGCTATAATATATTTTGAGTAGGGCCCCAAAGGAGAAGACACATAGAAGAAAGGCGGAAATAGTGATATTTTTATAGAAGACAGGCGAGAGTTGACCGTATTAATGCCACAATCCACTCACCAAGATAACGTCCAATTGGATCCCAGTCACAAGTACAAAACCTATGCAAGGTAATGTTCTTCTGCTGCCTCGTCTATTACTGTCTTGTTGACCGCGCATATCAAAATAATACTTAGCAATGTTTATTTGCGCTACAAAAAAGTTGATTTTTCCTTGATGTAGCCTAGCTGCCCTGATAAGACGCCAAAGCATACAATGAATTACTTCTTACTAGAACCCAATGATCTCAGCTAGGTCGAATGAGGCAATTTTAAATTAATGTCTTGCCAAAGGACGTTGATTCTGTGGCAGAGATTCGAACCCTGTACCTCGTCATCCAAAGTACCATTAACACTGAAAGTCTAGGAACCGTTTCCCAGGAATACCTTGTATAGCAAACTAACTAGTACAGACATGGAGAGATCCGTGGTTCTTTAAAGGGAGGGGGGCACCAGTCCGAAAAATCTTTTACAGGCACAAATAGGAAAAAATATGTTCAGGTCCTCTGTATGTTGACAGTTTAAACGGAGGCCACAAGGACACATTCAAGTAGCGTGAATAGGGGGGGGGGTGACATTTCTCTATGTAATTCATGTATGCACGATCTGGTTTTAAATGTCAAAAGGGGGCACAGGTAGGTTGTGCCCCCCCCCCCACAAACACACACAAGCTTCCTATACTTCACATGCTTCCTACTACCCCCTTCAGACTATCCTGGATACGCCCCCTGAGACTTTAGTTCAGACTTTCGTTATGAACTCACCTGTTTCACAATGTGTACCAGTCCATCCATCCTCACATGTACACGTGTAACCGTTCTCCTCATCCTGGCAAATACCTTGATTTCTACAAGGCTGGCTGCTACACTCATCAGTGTCTGAAGGACAGAAAGACAGACAAACAGAGAAATATTCATCACGAATTCTAGGGTATCGTGTTGTTTTTCCGAAGGTTCGTAACTACGAAGGCCCCGTTATTCCGAAGATAATTCTGAAAATGCCATTCAGTTCATCATTCCATTAGCGTAGTACTAATTGGATGCTACCAGTTGCGTAACTAGGGTTTTTACAGACGTGTATCAATCAGATATGAGTATTTACGTCTGGGATCGACCTTTTACGTCACCATCTGAAATACGAGAGAATTCTTTCATTCATTCAATTTGTATTCAAACTCTGAATATATTGGCTAACAAATCTGAATAGTTAAACAAAAGGAGATCAAGAGTATAACTTTGTAAACGTATTAAATGGAATGTAATAATTTCTTGTTTGTGGCATTGTACTAATAACTACCCATTACAGAGAGGCGGAGTGAGCTGACCGACATTTTCGTCCAAAATAAGATACACAAACTATACAATAGTAGAGTCCATGTATCATCACGAACAGAGCCATCTAATCAAAAGCACTAATCAGGAAAATACTCTAACGCCCTCTAATGAAATTTTCCTTGAAGAAAATGCTTTTTTTCTTTCCTGTAACGTTTAAACTTAAGCATGTGTTTACCAAACGTTAGGTTTTGTGGGTTGGTCAGCTTTGCCTCGGCGAGGGGAGGTAAAAAAAAAAGTAAAAAAGAGGTGATTACCATGTTCACAGTTTCTTCCTTCCCATCCATCCGTACATTGACATGTGTAACTGTTCAGTCCATCCAAGCAAACTCCTTCATTTTGACAAGGATCGCTGACACATTCATTTTTGCCTGCAAGGTTAAAAGCGGATATAACCTCTTTACCAAATTGTTCTTAGCAAACTTTTGTTTGACAAATGTGGATAATGAATATTTACAATGTGAGGGGCAACACTTAAGAAAAAGACCGAACTTTAAAATTGAAAATAACATCGCTCAACCAATTAACCTAGTCAAAGTGCGATCAAAGAAAAAATAATGTTCATTCTATTTTTCGACTAGCTACACCACGTGTAGCATACGGCCCACGCAATATTCACGAATCACTCATTTGAGCGATAGTGTAAAAACAACGTTGGTCCTAACTGCTGAATGTAGTTTCTGTTGACTTAAATGAATTAAACTAGAGTTCACTTACTTATTTCACAATTGGTCCCTTCCCATCCGGGTAAACATTGACATGTGTAAGTGTTATTCCCGTCTTCACAACTTCCTCCATTTTCACAAGGATTACTGAAACAATCATTTGTGTCTACAAAAAAGAAAATGATAACAAAAATATCATATTGTAATGCGTGCTTTATCAGTGCCATGGTTTTTGCTCTACCTCGTCAATGTCATATTATACAAATATAAACTGTATTGAGAGGTTCTGATTGAAACTATGGGCAAGAGAAGACTACTTTAGTTCTATTGAAGTCACCGAGGCCCATAATTTTAACCAGTAACTTGAAAAGAAGGCAGGGTATATTTTGTTTATATCTTGCATCAACAAATTATTATATCCTGCATCAAAAATACGACTGCAGCTCGGTGTAAATATCATGGTGTTAGCACCGTGTCACCTGGGAAGTTGCCTGCTGGAGGCACTTAAAAATCCCGTACGCTCGCTGAATTTCAACTCCTAAATTCTCCCTATTCTCGCAAATAGTTTTTTTTTTAAATAAGTATATGACATTCATCAATCAGTCGATCTGGTGACATTAACATAGAAATAAAAATTATTCGACAGAGAGGGCTAATCATACAACAGCATGAAAAGCATGTGACTCCCGTCAACCGTGCTCACGGTAGCCAAAAACTCTTATCTAGGCGATAGTGGAGAATCAAAATTTGTCCTAACCGCTATCAAAGCGTACTTTCTACGTAAAATGTACAGATTTCGATAAAACTCTCTCTAGTTTACTTACTGATTTCACAGTTGGTTCCTTCCCATCCGAGAGTACATTGGCATGTGTAACTGTTATTCCCGTCTTGGCAAATTCCTCCATTTTTACAAGGGTCGCCAATACATTCATTTGTGTCTGCAACGTTTTGAAAAATGAAATCACTTTTGAATCTTAATCCGAATACATGTAGAAGAAGTTTTACGTATTAATCGCATAGAAACATCGACATTATATGGTAACATATTTGTGTAAACTTAATGCAACTTTCTTCTGATTTAATGATATTTTCTCGATGTTTCATTTTAAGACAGGATGGGATTTAACATATACCTGTTTTAACACCTCTGAATTCAAACGCATTTACTTGATGATCACAGGCCGTTATAGATGGGTTGTGCCATACATGCACATGATGAACTTAAACCATTTCGACATCACACTCGTAAAGCTTAATTCTGCATCAATGTAATCTCCTTTTTCCAATTTTGCTCGTTCAGATATGAACTGGTAGACCACGGTGGGATTTTTTTTAACAACATGTTAATGGATAGCGTCTGCGCTCAACAAAAGTCGTATGTGTATTCACTGAGTTCTGTTTTATGATAAGATTTGAGAAGAGAAACCGCCGAGGTGTACCGCATCATATCGCATAGGTTTTGTTCCCCCTCCCACTTTTTCAATTCTTAAAGCTCTATCCATCGTGGTTTGAATAGACATTAATTTAGGCGACATTCAAATGGATCAACGTGAGGTTCACTTACTAATATCACAGGTGGACCCTTCCCATCCTTCAGTGCATGTACATGTATAGTTGTTCAACCCGTCAACACAGACTCCGCCATTTTCACACGGTTCATCGGAACATTCATCGATTTCTAAAAAATAAGGAAACATTCCCAGTCAAATGTTTTTTTTAATTTCATATTTCTTGATAACAATTAATCATCCTTAATTTATAATGTGCATCCCTGATTATACTTGATTATAATGATAATGATATTAGTAGTGGTGGTGAAAACTATTATGATGAGGAGGAGGGAGAAGAGGAAGAGGAGGATTCGCGGCATTTCGATGGTGACGAAGTAATATTCAAGTTAAAACATTGAGGTTTTGCCAAAAGATCTTCCAATAAAATCTCCATTTAAACAGTCTATTTAGTCCAATTAGTCCAAATAGGTGAGTTTTTTTTCGGTGTGGTTTCAATGATCGAAGCTATCGAATTACATCGATTTGAATTGTCTTTTTTTTTAATGTTAGTTTCTACATTTCTAAAGGAACTTAAAATATAACTTACCAATTCCACAATTGGTGCCTGCCCATCCATCTTTACACTGACATGTGTAACTGTTTATTCCGTCCAAGCAAATCCCATCGTGTAGACAAAGTTGGCTCAAGCATTCATTCAAGTCTAAAGAAGAAAGATTAATTCAATTTATTTAGAGATAACCAAATGTATCTAATTAAGATTACATTTAATATACATGTTATACATTGCAAAGGCACAAATATATACATCAGTGTAACTCCAACCATATGTAACTATTTATCCTGCCGAACGCAGCCGAAGCAAATCCCATGATTTTGACGAGGCTGGCTGAAACATTCATTCGTGTCTAAAGAAAACCAACAACAAATAAATATTATTTACAGACAAATTTATTAAATTTAGATTTTAAAATACTGCATTCATTAGAATGGCTTTTCGTACAGTGTAATGTATAAGACAATGATTTATATTGTTACAATACGATTACAAATGGAAGACACCACTAAAGAAGAAGTTATGTTGAGATTAAAAGCAGGATGGATGAACTTTGGAAGGTACAAAGACATGTTGACCGATGAAAACATACCCATGTCACTAAGAGGAAGAATGTTCAACCAATGCATTCTAACAACTATGACATATGGATCACAAACATGGTAATTGACAAAGGATCTAGAACAGAAGCTTGTGACTACTCAACGAGCTATGGAGAGAAAGATGTCGCATTTATCTCTGCGAGACAAAATCAATCACAAAGTTATACGCCAGAAAACAAAGGTTAAAGCCATCATGGAGAAAGTCAGAGAATCAAAGTGGAGATGGACTGGGCATGTAGCAAGACTTCAGGACATTATATGGACAAATTGTTTAACAGAATGGCAACCAAGGATGGGAAAGAAAAGAAGAGGAAGGCAGAAGAGAAGATGGAGAGATGACCTAACATCATGCATGGGAACGGCCGCTAGGACTAGGATAGCTAGAGACAGAAGATAATGGAAATTTTATAAGGAGGGCTTTGTCCAACGCCTGATAGATAGATAGATAGAATACGATTAAAATAAAAACGATCCGTAGACGTTTGTGCTGTTTCTCAGAGAAATTTTTCTGAATATGCCATCGATTATCCAAATTCCGAGATCCCCTGCTCTTTCTATAATGAAACAGAACAAAATTCAGCATTTTACTCACTTATTTGACAGTTAACACCTGCCCATCCGGCCATGCACTGGCACAGATATCGGTTGACATCATCAGTACATGTTCCTCCATTACGACAAGGGTTGCTGGCGCACTCGTTGAAGTCTGAAAAGCAAAAGATCTTAAAATCATAACAAAATTCATAGCAATGTCACATAAAAACGATTTCACATGTATTGCCCCTATGTTCCAAGGTAATAAACACAACAATTTCTAGTGACGACATAAATTATGCCATGTAGAAAAACTTTTAGATATGTCCCTACAACCGGATGACCAGCACTTAAGATTATCTTGACGAACTACAAGTTACTAATTATTTATTTTAATATATAAAGCAGGATCACATAAAGATGAAAAAACACAAATCTGTCTTTTAAAATGCAAATATCGCAAGTTGACAAAAGCTGAATTTTTGTCATTTTGGTCTTTCCAAAGAAGTGGAGGTTTATTTTTCTTTACGAACTTTTTATAAGTCAGTGAAAAATTAAAAACATTTCTGCCATACAATACCTGGTGTAGTTTGCTGCGTTGTCGTTATGGTTAAAGTAGTACGCTGCGTTTCATTCTGAGAAATTATAGACTCCTTGTTCAGCTTCTCTGAATTGTGTAGACAAAAATAAAAATACACGCATTTATCATCGTAATCAATGTTTTTGACATACACAGGATTTTCAGACAGCAGTTGAGTTTACACAAAAAGGGAAATACATGTATAGCATGTGACGCTCTCTGCTGAATGACAGACCGGTAAGAGCATGGTGGCACTGTTAAGAACTCTCAAATAGCATAAACAGTTAACCACTAAATTATTCATACCCCTTGTAAATTTGATGTTTTTTTGTTTTCGGAACTCAAGATAAAAGCTGGAATGGTTGAATTAGGGCCTGTCATGAATAAATGTAGATGTAAGCTTTAAAGTGTAATATTATCAAGAAACGTAAATCAGGACAAATCAATTTTCAAGGTAATTAAACAAATCCAAATCTAGGTAAGGGTTTGAATATTGTAGTTGTTAACTATAATGTGCTTTTTCACCAGAGATCTAAATTGTCCTTTTTAATGGGAGAGTATCGGTAAATACTGAAGAGTATCAAAGCAGTGATGTTGTTTCGAATCCGGGGCACGATTACCTTTAGTCATTAAATGAACTATAACCCGCTCAAGATTTAGAAATCTACAAAAGATGAAGGCAATTATAGAAATTATATGTCCATAGACGAAGCTAGACTTTCAAAGAGACATGGGCAGCGAAAGGGAAGAGGAGATAGAGACATGAATAAAGGAAAAAAAGAAAGATTGACGGATGAGAGGAAAGAAACTGGGGGACAAAAACAGAGAGAGAGAGAGAGAAAGAGATTTTGATTCAAGATTCAAGATTCAAGATTCAAGATTCAAGATAATTTATTGTCATGTAAAAAATACATCAAATTTGCCTTCGGACATTTAAAGGTGCTATACATGTATATATATATAAATACAGACAAAATAATTTCATGTCAACATAACATTTAACAATCATCACAATCACAATTTAAAAAAGAGATAAGACAGGAGGAATGAGAGACGTAAAAATGTTGTTAAAAGGAAAATGAGAATAAATAGTGCCATGTCATGGACAAACACTTAAGTCCAATGTGTAGTTTTTCAATGTTGCCAATGGTACCTACCACAACTGTTCCCTGTATAGCCTTCGGAGCAGTGGCATTTAAATCCGACCATAGTCTCCTCACACCAGCCGTTTTTGCATGGATTATTGAGACAATCTGTTCATCGAAATTGCAATAAAAAGATGCATGTATTGAACCAGAGCAAGTCGACGATCATTAATAGTAATGATATTAATAATGATGAGCGAGCGAGCTTTGGGAGGAATTGCTCTTAGTCGCTTGAATTTTGGGGCGCATTTAATGATGAGAGGAAAAGGGGATACTTATCAGAAAAAAAGGAGCATGTGTCAAAGTACAAAGAGTAATTATCAGAGGTGAAAATGGGGCACTTCTTACATCCTTAAAAAGACGCACTCACCAGGGATGAAAAAAGTCAGTCATGAGAGTAGGAAATGGACATTTGTCGCCAGAAAAGGGGCCCCCATCAAATTTTGATAGGGGCATTTATGGGAGGTGTAAAGGGGATAGGTCGATTATAAGAAAGGAAAAGGGGCACGTACCATTGTTATAAGGGAAATTATCAGAGGTGAAAAGAGGCACTTATCGCATCTGAAAAGGGGCAATGACCAGATATGAAAAGGGGCACTTACTATGTGAATGAAAAAGGGGCACTTATAATAAAGTAAAATGTGCATTAGTTGAAAGAAAATGGGCATCGACCAGATTTTAAAGGGGCATTTATCAGATGTTAAGGGGGCACTTATCTGAAGTGAGTGAGTAAAATGAGTAACTTCTCGTACCTGAAAAGGGGGTCATTTACCAGAGAAGGGGTACTTATGAGAATGAGATGGGGCTCTTGTTTAATGGGGCACTTATTACAAAGGAAAAGGGGCACTTGTCAAAGTAAAAAAAGGCACCTCTTAGATTTGAATAGGGCAATTATCAGAGGCAAAGGGGCACTAATCAAAAGTGAACAGAGGCACCTCTGAGTGCAACAGTGGGACTCGAATCGAACAATCTCATGTATTTTTGTTTGTTTTCTATGAGATTATAGATATACACATCTGAATTTTTGCGGACAAATGGTCAAATCAGTAATATCTTTAAACATTTCTTTTGTTATTCTTGATATTTAGATCTGTAATAATTATGACAAATGTGAAGTTATCTCACCCGGGAATCTACACTGGCGGTACCCAGATAATCTTGCCCTCCCAGAGTTGGGACATGATCCGTCCCCGCGGCGTAGAATTATCTTGGGGATTGTAGCCACCATCTTCCCATTCTCATCGGGGCGTTCCCGGCAGACCTCGAACATAGGTAGGGTGTAGTTGAGCCCAAGGCCATCGCTGCATGTTGAATCCTTGCCCAAGGCTAATACAGAGGGGTGTACTGCAAAATGAAACACAACAGTTGTTAACCATAAACAAAACAGTTGCCTACTTGTTCGCTTCAAAAACTTCAAGTACCAGGGTTGCGTGCTGAAACACTTCCCCCTTCTCCTCCCATTTAAAAAGTTCTATTGGCGCTTCTGATTTGAATGAAACGCCAAATAAAATATGAAAAAAGATGTTTTGGAGGCACCATCAATTCAAAGTTACTTACCTACTATCAAAACTTGTATGAAGATGAAAATCAAACTCGCAAGAGGAATATAACCTTTCATATTCACAAAAAACACTATGCATCTATTCCATCTCGAACCAAGGATTTTTTGAATACTTTTAAACAAAGGTTGATCGAGAACGCTACTCGCAGGAATATATGAAAACAAAATATCAATATTGGATAAAGTCCTGTATTATCATGTGTTCCTTGATACATGCTCTGGTGATAATTGCTCACTTCCAATTTTTAGAAGTAAATGAGAGATGCTGCTGATGCGATGAATATGAGCGCTCCGTGAAAGGTCAAAAGCAAAATTAATTCTCAATGCAATAGAAAAACCTCAGTCACACCGCCGAGCCAAGTCTGCACCCACTGCACACGGACCGACATTTGGCTCTTCGGGGGTAAAGTAATCGTTCATTCGGTCTGTTGTCGCCTTCTCCATCAGTCTAGGTTGGTCGTTGGTGTGACTGTGGTCTTAGTGTCACGTCGCGGCACGTTGGAGATCGATTCGATCTACTAGGCCAAGCGTTTATTTTCTACGTGCTTTCATCGTGTCTGTATTCTTTTTAATTGACCTTGCCGTTCTCATCACGCCAATAAAAATTAATTTGATAACACCTATTCACTCCAATTCAAGTAATTGGTAAATTAAGATAATGATAGCACCAAATAGAATAAGTTGATAATTACCCTTCAATAAGCAATATCTAGGATATAAACAAGTATCTTTTCTTTAAACTAAATAGACCGCAGTATATATTCGTCAATATGATTAATATTATGGTTACCAAAGCAACCATTTTGCAGTGTGGGATTCGAGCCACGTTTGTTTTATCAACATTGAATGATGATGATAATGATGATGATGACGATGATTATTATGATGAAAAATGATAATGAGGAGGATACAGTGAAGAAGAAGAAAAGGAAAAAAAATGAAGATAATGATGATGAAAAGTGATATTGATTAGGAGGATACAGTGAAAAGAAAGAAAAAGAAAAAGAAAAAGAAAAATAAGACAATGATGATGAAAAGTGATATTGATGAAGAGGATACAGTGAAGAAGAGGAACAACAAGAAGAATGATGATCAAGACGATGATAATGATGATGATAATTAGTTAGATGATGATGATAATGAGGATAAAATTGCTGATGAGGAGAGGTAGCAGGAGCTGGAGGAGGATTGCAGTGAAGAAGAAGAAGAAGGTGATGATTTTTTTTAAAACTCTGTTTATTATAGTAATTTCCAGTTTTAATTCATCATCTGATCACGGTTGATTATATTTAATATAGGGTATGTATGTTTGGCTGATTGATTATTTATATGTTTTGTTTTTATTCCCGAATCTAATGTGTGTATATATACAGCGTACATTATTTTGTAATACTTTCATATTTCTCTACATTTGATTTTTTTATAGATATAACACATGAATATCCAAATAATATCCAGGTTAAAAATGGATGATGGTTGATGAAGGTAAAGTGAAATATCTATCTCTCCACGGCGGAACTAGGAAAGTCTCTCTCTCTCTCTCTCTCACCAATGTGTATAAGAGAAGCTTTATCTGCCACACGTAGTAATATAACTATTGAGCCTTTATTTTCGGACACTATTAGCAACCGAAAGTAATGGCTGTAGATTAATTGCCCCCATCACTTAGCAGCAGTATTAAGTAATTAGATTTCACTTCGTCCTGTAACTCCTTAGTCGATCTTTGTTTTTACAACTATGGAAACGATGGCGTAGTTTCAGTGGCCACTGGAGTTTCTCCCCCTTCCCTTCCCTCCCCATCGAATGACCAAAGAGGGGACTAAATAATGAAGGGGGAAAAGAGAGTAAGGAAAAGGAGAGGAGAAGGCAACGTAATGGATGACGATACGATGACTCCACCCACCCCCCCCCCCCCCCCGATACTCGATGACGGTGTTTTTCGCATTTTATTCACCGAGTAAAACCGATGCCCCCTATGACACCAGTACCCCCATGAGACCGCGCTCTCTCTCGTGGACCACCTCCAATAGGTGCTCCAGTGGCACGCCGTTTTGGCTCGCCGTGGCTCGCTGTTGGGCGGACCAAAACGACGTTGTACCTCCCACACCGCAGAGATAGCGCGGTCTAGCGCGCGCTATCTCTGCCGGTGTGAACAGCCTCTTGGGGGTGGTCCACGAGAGATAGCGCGGTCTAGCGCGCGCTAGAAAAAAGGGGGTGCTACGATAGACCGCGCTATCTCATTGCGGTGTGAACAGCCTCAATTATCCTTGGGCCTACTTTATTAGAGTAATGGCGCCGTACTCATTCATACCATGTCATCCTATACAGTATTTTTGATACTTATTTTTAAAAATCTCTTAGTATTTATTATTCATTGCCCCCCCCCCGCCCCCTCTTCTCTTTATCTCTCTCTCTCTCTCTCTCTCTCTCCCTGTCTCATCTACCTCTCTCACTCTCTCTCTCTCTCTCTCTCTCCCTCTCTCCCTATCCCCTATATCTCTCTATTTTTCTCTCATCCCTCTCTCTCTCTGTCTGTCTTTCTTTATTATATTCAATCATTAACAGCAACAATTGACAGAATGATAGAATTGTGGATGACTTATTGCTTTTAATTGAATTTAATTTATGTAACTTTTACGTCACATTGTGTTTGAGTGTCATAAAGGTAGCGAGCTGGATGTATGAGAGACAATACATGTCGATGTGTTAAATCCATGAAGCTATACTCAAATGTAAATCCCTTGATTGGTTCTTAGATTTTTTTACATCAATAAATTTGCAAAGGTTGTCGGATTTATCTTCTTCTAATTGAAGCAGATAAGGATTTCCTTACCATGTTACGTGGATTTTACGGGTATTCATGTGAAAATGAAAGAATGTCCAGTATCCATAAGCATTGATTGATTAAATTTGTCGATTATTAATGACAGCCATTTATGAAATAAACAGTTATCGTCATTAATATAATTATTGTCTCTATATACTCTTGAATTATTAATTAGTATGACGTGTTGTTACGTTCATTAAAGAAACTCCCAGTATAGGTCTTCGTGCCCTATGACAATTGAAGTGCGGACAACTTCCTCTCTAGGAAAAATACACCCGGACAACTACCCTTAGAAATTATCCCAGTTACCCTAAAACCTGTTTAAGGAGTTGATTATTTAAAGCTAGGCCTGTCCGGGGAGTAATTGACCTGAGGGGATAGTTCATGGCGTAGTTGTTATAGCATCGTGACCTTTGATATGCAGGTGATCTAGTGATTGAAATAATCAATATCTTCATTTTAAAATCAATGTTTTGGTTATAATGGTATTTATTGCAATAATCAAGAAAATAATCCAGTGTTATTACTGAGGAAGAATAATTTCTATTAGAATATTTCCCATGTGATATAGGATGAAATACATAGATTGTAACACAAATAACTCCGGTGATCATATAAATATTAATAAACAAAATAATGCTATGCATTAATGGAATGACAAACATATTAGAAAGGCTCAACTTGAAAGTGAAATCCAGAATGGTATTTATTTAGATTCAAGGCAACTGATAATGGACAGAAGCAATAAAGGAAAAAGCATGTAATAATTATATTAACTTGTCTTGTTTTGGATAAGTGTAAACGGTACTGATTGTTATTGTAATTCCAGAACTGAACATGAGCTGTGTCAACCGATGAGACTTAATTGGTGTAACAATTTGTTTAAATCATGTCATACCATTAACAGAAATGGAAATTGTTTAGCTTATACAGATAAAATATGATCTTACTTTTGTAACAAAGTACTTCAAATTTCAAAGACTACTCGTTAGATTTTCAATATCGTGTCATTATCATCACTCTTTAGATCCAGTCATTCAGAAATAAAGGAACGATATCATATTATTTATTCAGAATGAACTACTTATGAGAGTCAATTTCACACACTGTGCACACCGAAAACGATTCACTTCAAATTAGGCACTGATTACCGATTGGATACATTGCCCAAATAGCTTTCGTATATTCATGTGTAAAATATGTCAGGGTGTCATGCCCGCTACACACGATGAATCAGTTTAATTTATTTACTCATCAATTCATCACGTGCGCAAGTAAAGCTTGATAAGGCAATGAAAATAAGCAAGTAATATAAAGCAAAGTTTGCTCTCTTTACTTCGGATTTACTCTCTACGATATCACACTCTTACGGCCCGTCAAACTCCGAATACGTGAAATCACGTTTCTTTCGCAACGGGCATAAGGTTCTTCAGAATTTGTGTTAACGTTCCACATCTTTTTTGAATTAATAATGTCTAAATATTGACTAAACTACCACTTTTCTTGAAAGCGGGCTGAAAAATGTACATCTATACAGAATTCAGAGTCGACTATGAGAGTTAGTTTAGCTAAGTTTAACTAAGGTTAACTAATTTTATGTCATGATTGAGTTCATTATTTCATGACAAAATATAATTCAATTTATTCATTTCAGACTTAGACAGACTAATTTCGGTAAACGGGTTTATTATTAGGCACAAATCTAAAATATTCACACCAGTATAACATAGAAAACATCTATAACATGAATGAACAAAAGGTTTCAAAAATACCAGTCCTATTCGTAAAAAATCATTGCATAGATTAAATGAGCAATAATTTACTCGTAAATCTATCTTTACTCGTTAAAGTAAAGAGAACTACATAGTCTAAGTGATTTGCGTTTAAGGTACATGATTGTACAGTAAAATATACAGTGAAAGATATATTACACAAATATTACAACAATCAAATATTGATGAAATATATACATATATTTATGTTTTTAAAAATTTGATGGGGTGAATGAGGTTGAGTAGGAAGAGAGATACACCCTTGTTCAGTGACGTAAGAGACGTGGGGGAAAGTTCCTCTCCGATAAATAACCCCCTTAAAAGAGAAAATGGGGAGTGTGAAAGAAAGGAGCTAGGAAAGAGAGTGGAAAGAAGAAGACAACCCCCGATCCCAACCATGTAGTCACCCTAGGCGGAGCGTATTTATAAGTAATTTTCAGAGCCCCTCTACCACCCATCCCCCCGCCCCCAATCACACTAGTGCTCCCACGGTGGCTGGACACATAGTAGGTCAAATGCATCGGGTCAGGGGCGGATCCAGCCGGCGGCGAGCACTTCGTGAGAAAATGTATAGCGGCGCATGCATGCACGGACATGGGTGAGTCCGAAGGGGGAATATGCCCCCTTTTTAAGCTGAAGAAAAATCGAATTTTCAAAATCAATTCGTGCAATATGGAGTATAATTTTTGCCAGGATATCATTTAAAATCTGTAACTTTTTTCGGGCACAAATTTATGATAAGCCTTGGACTTCTACGAAGTTCTCTTGAGGAAAAAGACTGTAAACACAAGAAGCAGGACTATGTGTAACAAACAGTCTTTAGGACAATGGTATTCATGACACCGGTACCTCTAGGTGTAAGTGTTTAATATAGATACTTGCATAACTGAACACGGTAATGATTCCCTCAACAAGATCAAGAGTCTAAAGTATAACTTTATACACTGTTGGTCATAATGGTGGAATAATTATTTTTGCGCCAGTTTAGGGAAGAATTTAATTTTTTTTATATTTCTTATAGATCTAGATAATGGCATACATTCTCAGATTTTATTGAATATTAATTTGCGAGTGTTTGTTTTGCGTGACTGCTAAATCTTATGTGTGCAACTATGCTAATCAGCTAGGGAACCTACGTCCTTAAATCATAATTGACAGTAATGAGGATTAATGCCTCACAAAAGGGCACTAATATAGCTGATCGACACGATTTTTATCATGGGAGCTCACAGTAACGAGGCCATTGCTAAGCCCCTGAATCATGACTGTACGCAGTGTTTGCTAGGGTACGCGGCCCCTTCCACAAATCCCCCAAAACGAAGAAAATGCAATAAATTGTCAAAAATTCATTGCATTTTCCCCCGGCCCCCAACAGGAAAAATTCCTCTGTATGGCCATGCCTTGAACCATAAAGCATGGTTTTTTTTTTGGTTTTTTTTTTTTTTGCCGGGGCCTTGGTCGATTTTTACAAAAAAGTGGGGGGAGGGACGAAGCTCGAGCCTAGGCGTAGGGCTGGCTCTGTACATTGTGTAACATCCGGCAGGATGATTTGACAGATGACCTGAAGTTATCCCAGTCCTGACATATTTTTGAATGTTGTTACTTGTGCGCCCTAGTGTAGAGCGATCATCGGCCTTTGCTTAAATAATATATTCCTCATTAAAACACGAATAAGAACTAGTTCTCACCTGAAAACGACCCCAATCTCCGAGCATGGCTAGCTGGACCGGGGCCTAGCGGGGCCTATATACGGATAAGTGAGGGTCCTGGGTCCACTTCTAACTCGTGTTTTTAGGCCTTCTTTCTTTCCCTTTTCTTTCCTTACCTTTCATTCCGTCGGGACCCCCCCCCCCCCCCCCCGTGTATCCGTGACTGCATGGGGTTGTTCACAAATATACTTGGCATGATGAAAGGAATGAATTAAAATTATTGCTCAAAAAAAGGTGTAGAACAACAATAAACAAAACAGGTGAGCAACATACAGCTGGAGCCACGCTACGCTACATTCAATGGGTTGTTCAAAGATATACTTGCCATAATCTCCTAGTGTAGAAATTATTAGATATAGTAATAATAATTTGATCTTATTTACCCAGTGTAGCCACATCAGTATTGGTATATACTGCTCTTGCGGGCCCTGTATTAATTATTACCTCCAGCAGCTCCCAGCACCCATTAACAACTGGATGGAGAGTGCCAAATGTGGATAAATGTCTTGCCAAAAGACGTTAATGCTGGGCTTGGATTCGAACCATCAATCCGTGGATTGAGAGTCAAGTGAATAAGCACATCTCCACATAATTACATCTATTAAGCCCAAATGTCATATATGTAAAAAGAACACGAGTACTATCCCCCCCCCCCCCCCCCACTCATCCCCAAGTCGCTCGATCACGCCACTCCAATTGCTTGGGGTTGTTATTAATGTACCTATTGTCCTGTTGTAGACATTGCATTCATTATGCCATATGCCATCTCCCTCCCCCCCCCCCCCCGAAAAATAAAAAGATATAATGAAAAGAAAATGACACCAGTGCCAAAGCCCCCCACCCACACACACACACCCACACATACACATACACTGATGGACCCACGCATTCTTACATGAATACACCCCCCCCCCCCCTTTCCCTAAAAATAACATATGTTGAAAAAAAATTAGGAAAAGAAAATGACACCAGTGCCTCCGCCTCCCCCCCCCCCCCCCACACACTGCCGGACCCACCCATTCTTACATGAACCAACAACATTTTAATCGATTTTCATGTTGGAAAGCAAAAAGGGTACAGAACTTTCATCCCTCTTGCCCAAATGTCCTCCCCCCCCCCCCCCCCCCACTCATGGTTGTATACATGCTACGCCACTAGCACGGGGTACAAATACACTTGACACACTGTCCCTATATTACAGTTTCCAGAGCAGTCTCCTCTGTCAAACCATTTTCCGGGATCGTTCACCAAGAGTCTCCTCATTATAGCAAAATTACCGTCACTATTAGGCTCGCCTGGGTACCAATCTATTTCAAATGAAAGGAATGATAATTATTAGAATAATGATGAGAGTGATAGTTACGATAATAATGTTAACAATGAGAATAATGATAATAATATAATATTGATAATAATAATAATAGTAAACATAGTCATAATGATCTAATAATAATGGTAACAATAATACATAACAGAATCGATAATAAAAAAAGAACAACACTAGAAAATGATAATGATATTACAAAAACAATGGCGATGATATTCGTCATAATGGTAAGAATGAAAACAATAACAACAGTAAAAATAATAGTAACAATAATGATAATAATGATGATAATAATACTGTATATACAGAACATAGATTTTGATTAAAAAAATCAATAAAATAATACTAAACGGTCAAAATCAAAATTATAATAATAATAATGATAATAATTACAATACTGTTCTTGACTTACTCCTGTACGAAGAAACAGTTCCTGAAGCATCCTTTTCACAGATCCACGTCCCCTCATTAAGCAAGTCGTTGCAATTCAGCCAAACTAGTTTGATGGATTCCACCAGGAACTTTTCCGCAATAACTTCAGTTTCCTCTTGGCTTTCTAACAATAGCAACGATGCTCGTCTTGACCCCGCCCCACCTTGCAGCGTGACGTACAAGCTACCACAATAACTTTTTGCATCACTCCAGTGCATGTAAGACGTCATGTAGTAGCACTTTTGTCCATAATAAAACCAGTCTGATGGGCAAAGGGCTGGAAGAGTAGCGAGGAAATTGGAAAAGAGTCGAATTCAATTTTTATTAATTCAACATACTAAATATCATAGTACATATTTTTCAAAATGCATTACTCAGGAGGGTGTTTTATTTCCCAGAGCACCTATAAAAATGTGTTAGAAACAATGGCCCGAAATCACAAAGGAGGTTTGCCGACAAACCTCGGTTTATGTGCGTCATATGACGCTTTTCAGACCAAGGTTTGAACCTTAGTCTGAAACGCATCGAAACGCGTCATATGATCCACATAAACCTAGGTTTGTCGACAAACCTCCTTTGTGAATTCGGGCCAATATGTTTTTGAGCAATGCCCCAAGGGAGAAGGCGCTTAGGAGAAGCACAGAAAATGTTAACATTTTTTTAGAAGACAGGCGAGATTTGTCCGTAACAAGGTTACAATCCACCAACCAAAATAATGTCCAATTTGAGATTTGCATAGATTTAGTGATTTCGAATTTCATCTTTTCAGAACTTTTTAATAATTGTTCCGAATTATTTCTTTCATTTTTCTGCTTTCATACAAATGAACAAAGGTTGGATACGCGCCTTGAGACTTTCGTTATAAACTCACATGTTTCACAGTGTGTACCAGTCCATCCATCCTCACATGTACACGTGTAACCGTTCTCTTCATCCTGGCAATTACCTTGATTGCCACAAGGCTGGCTGGTGCACTCATCAATGTCTGTAGGACAGAAAAACAGGCAAACAGACAAATACTTAACATGAATCTTCGTTGATACAAGCCTGGCTGGATCATTCGTCGACGTCTTGAAATATGATAAACATGAATTAAAATTAAATTGAAACCAGAATAGACGAATCCATGACGTTGAACCCCCCCCCCCCCCCGCAAAAAGGGTCATTCGAGTGTCGCCGAGATGCCCTCACTTGAAAAAAAATGATTAATTTAGCTTCCTACTCCCTACCCCTTCCCCCCCCCCCCTCCTATAGACTATTGTGGATACGCCCCTGAGGTTTTCGTTCAGACTTTCGTTATGAACTCACCTGTTTCACAATGTGTACCAGTCCATCCATCCTCACATGTACACGTGTAACCGTTCTCTTCATCCTGGCAATTACCTTGATTGCCACAAGGCTGGCTGGTGCACTCATCAATGTCTGTAGGACAGAAAAACAGGCAAACAGACAAATACTTAACATGAATCTTCGTTGATACAAGCCTGGCTGGATCATTCGTCGACGTCTTGAAATATGATAAACATGAATTAAAATTAAATTGAAACCAGAATAGACGAATCCATGACGTTGAACCCCCCCCCCCCCCCCGCAAAAGGGTCCTTCGAGTGTCGCCGAGATGCCCTCACTTGAAAAAAAATGATTAATTTAGCTTCCTACTCCCTACCCCTTCCCCCCCCCCCTCCTATAGACTATTGTGGATACGCCCCTGAGGTTTTCGTTCAGACTTTCGTTATGAACTCACCTGTTTCACAATGTGTACCAGTCCATCCATCCTCACATGTACACGTGTAACCGTTCTCTTCATCCTGGCAAATACCTTGATTGCCACAAGGCTGGCTGCTACACTCATCAATGTCTGAAGGACAGAAAAACAGACAGACAAACAGACAAATATTTAACATAAATCTTCGTTAATACAAGCCTGGCTGGATCATTCGTCGACGTCTTGAAATACGATACACATGAATTAAAATTAAATTGAAACCAGAATAGACGAATCCATGACGTTGAACCCCCCCCCCCGCAAAAAGGGTCCTTCGAGTGTCACCGAGATGCCCTCACTTGAAATAAAATTGTTTAATTTTGCTTCCTACTCCTTAATTACCCCCCCCCCCCTCCTATAGACTATTCTGAATAAGCCTCTGAGGTTTTCGTTCAGACTTTCGTTATGAACTCACCTGTTTCACAATGTGTACCAGTCCATCCATCCTCACATGTACACGTGTAACCGTTCTCTTCATCCTGGCAATTACCTTGATTGCCACAAGGCTGGCTGGTGCACTCATCAATGTCTGAAGGACAGAAAAACAGACAAACAGACAAATGTTTAACATGAATCTTCATTGATACAAGCCTGGCTGGATCATTCGTCGACGTCTTGAAATACGATAAACATGAATTAACAAGATAAACATGAATTAAAATTAAATTAACACCAGAATAGACGAATCCACGGCGTTGAAACACCCCCCCCCCCCTCCCCCGCAAAAAGGGTCCTTCGAGTGTCACCGAGATGCCCTCACTTGAATAAAAAAATTTTAATTTTGCTTCCTACCCCTTCCCCCCCCCCCCCCTCCTATAGACTATTGTGGATACGCCCCTGAGGTTTTCGTTCAGACTTTCGTTATGAACTCACCTGTTTCACAATGTGTACCAGTCCATCCATCCTCACATGTACACGTGTAACCGTTCTCTTCATCCTGGCAATTACCTTGATTGCCACAAGGCTGGCTGGTGCACTCATCAATGTCTGAAGGACAGAAAAACAGACAGACAAACAGACAAATATTTAACATAAATCTTCGTTAATACAAGCCTGGCTGGATCATTCGTCGACGTCTTGAAATACGATACACATGAATTAAAATTAAATTGAAACCAGAATAGACGAATCCATGACGTTGAACCCCCCCCCCCCCCGCAAAAGGGTCCTTCGAGTGTCACCGAGATGCCCTCACTTGAAATAAAATTGTTTAATTTTGCTTCCTACTCCTTACCCCCCCCCCCCCCCTCCTATAGACTATTCTGAATACGCCCCTGAGGTTTTCGTTCAGACTTTCGTTATGAACTCACCTGTTTCACAGTGTGTATCAGTCCATCCATCCTCACATGTACACGTGTAACCGTTTTTTTCATCCTGGCAATTACCTTGATTGCCACAAGGCTGGCTGGTGCACTCATCAATGTCTGAAGGGCAGAAAAACAGACAAACAGACAATATTTAACACGAATCTTCGTTGATACAAGCCTGGCTGGATCATTCGTCGACGTCATGAAATACGATAAACATGAATTAAAATTAAATTGAAACCAGGATAGACGAATCCATTATGTTGAACCCCCCCCCCCCCTCCGCAAAAAGGGTCCTTCGAGTGTCGCCGAGATGCCCTCACTTGAAAAAAAATGATTAATTTAGCTTCCTACTCCCTACCCCTTCCCCCCCCCCTCCTATAGACTATTGTGGATACGCCCCTGAGGTTTTCGTTCAGACTTTCGTTATGAACTCACCTGTTTCACAATGTGTACCAGTCCATCCATCCTCACATGTACACGTGTAACCGTTCTCTTCATCCTGGCAATTACCTTGATTGCCACAAGGCTGGCTGGTGCACTCATCAATGTCTGAAGGACAGAAAAACAGACAGACAAACAGACAAATATTTAACATAAATATTCGTTAATACAAGCCTGGCTGGATCATTCGTCGACGTCTTGAAATACGATACACATGAATTAAAATTAAATTGAAACCAGAATAGACGAATCCATGACGTTGAACCCCCCCCCCCCCCGCAAAAAGGGTCCTTCGAGTGTCACCGAGATGCCCTCACTTGAAATAAAATTGTTTAATTTTGCTTCCTACTCCTTACCCCCCCCCCCCCCCTCCTATAGACTATTCTGAATACGCCTCTGAGGTTTTCGTTCAGACTTTCGTTATAAACTCACCTGTTTCACAATGTGTACCAGTCCATCCATCCTCACATGTACACGTGTAACCGTTCTCTTCATCCTGGCAATTACCTTGATTGCCACAAGGCTGGCTGGTGCACTCATCAATGTCTGAAGGACAGAAAAACAGACAAACAGACAAATGTTTAACATGAATCTTCATTGATACAAGCCTGGCTGGATCATTCGTCGACGTCTTGAAATACGATAAACATGAATTAACAAGATAAACATGAATTAAAATTAAATTAACACCAGAATAGACGAATCCACGGCGTTGAAACACACCCCCCCCCCCGCAAAAAGGGTCCTTCGAGTGTCACCGAGATGCCCTCACTTGAAATAAAATTGTTTAATTTTGCTTCCTACCCCTCCCCCCCCCCCCCTCCTATAGACTATTGTGGATACGCCCCTGAGGTTTTCGTTCAGACTTTCGTTATGAACTCACCTGTTTCACAATGTGTACCAGTCCATCCATCCTCACATGTACACGTGTAACCGTTCTCTTCATCCTGGCAATTACCTTGATTGCCACAAGGCTGGCTGGTGCACTCATCAATGTCTGAAGGACAGAAAAACAGACAGACAAACAGACAAATATTTAACATAAATCTTCGTTAATACAAGCCTGGCTGGATCATTCGTCGACGTCTTGAAATACGATACACATGAATTAAAATTAAATTGAAACCAGAATAGACGAATCCATGACGTTGAACCCCCCCCCCCCCCGCAAAAAGGGTCCTTCGAGTGTCACCGAGATGCCCTCACTTGAAATAAAATTGTTTAATTTTGCTTCCTACTCCTTACCCCCCCCCCCCCTCCTATAGACTATTCTGAATACGCCTCTGAGGTTTTCGTTCAGACTTTCGTTATGAACTCACCTGTTTCACAATGTGTACCAGTCCATCCATCCTCACATGTACACGTGTAACCGTTCTCTTCATCCTGGCAATTACCTTGATTGCCACAAGGCTGGCTGGTGCACTCATCAATGTCTGAAGGACAGAAAAACAGACAAACAGACAAATGTTTAACATGAATCTTCATTGATACAAGCCTGGCTGGATCATTCGTCGACGTCTTGAAATACGATAAACATGAATTAACAAGATAAACATGAATTAAAACTAAATTAACACCAGAATAGACGAATCCACGGCGTTGAAACACCCCCCCCCCCCCCGCAAAAATGGTCCTTCGAGTGTCGCCGAGATGCCCTCACTTGAAATAAAATTGATTAAGTTTGCTTCCTACTCCCTACCCCCCCCCCCCCCTCCTATAGACTATTCTGAATACGCCCCTGAGGTTTTCGTTCAGACTTTCGTTATGAACCCACCTGTTTCACAATGTGTACCAGTCCATCCATCCTCACATGTACACGTGTAACCGTTCTCTTCATCCTGGCAATTACCTTGATTGCCACAAGGCTGGCTGGTGCACTCATCAATGTCTGAAGGACAAAAAACAGACAAATGGAGAAAATGTAACATGAATTTTAGGGTATCGTGTTGTTTTTCCGAAGGTTTATAACTACGAAGGTCCCGTTATTCCGAAGATAATTCTGAAAATGTCATTCAGTTCATGATTTCAAAAATGAACTAACCTGAATCCTTACTCTTCACCCTTGCATCATACGTCAGCGCAGTGCTAACTGGATGCTACCAGATGTGTTTGAAGCTCATTAAAATTTCAGTCCTTCAATCTACATGTATATTCAAATTTTGAGTGATTATTTTAAGTAACAAACCTGGTTAGTTAATCATAGCATTTTAAATCAAGAGTATAAGTTATCGAACATATACAATGGAATGTAATAATGTCTTTTTTTTAGCGTTATACTACCAATTACAGAGGAGCGACCGACATTTTCGTCAAAAATGAGATACATACAGTGTACAATAGTTGTAAGATCCGTGCATCTTAAAAGACCACTCTAACCCAACTAACATAGCCTTTTAGAACATGAATACACCTCTACTTATTAATGTTCCAGCCTCTGATTTTTCAGAAAATCTCTAAATTGACCAAAAAATGATAATAACCATCAATTTTCACAGATCTCACGCTTGCTGGGCTACGCCCCTCGAAAAAAGGTAATACGGTCACGTGGCTTAAAGACGCAATTGACGTTATTGCGGGCATGTCCGATTTGATAATTTCATAATTAGGAATGACGAAATTACCAGAACGTGCATATTATTTTTCGGACAAAGGTCTTTCTGTTTTTTCAATTAATATCATAGTTTACCCTTTTAAAGACATTTCAATGCCTAAATCACCCTCCTTTTCACCGGAGAGGCTCCTGCAGTGACATCATAATATTGCGCAATACAGCTCCGAAACTGGGCTTTTTTTCCGAGCGTTCCGAGTCGTCATTTTTAAAGCTAGATTCCAGAATTATTAATGATTCCTAAGAAAAATCATTTTCATGCTCGGAATCTCCGTCAAAAATTATTCTACATGTCTTTTTTTTCATTTTTTTTTTAGCCCGTTTATGTTAGAGTGGCCCAGGCGCGGATCCAGGATTTCTTAGGGGTGGGGCCCAATTTTTTTTCTTTTTGCTCCCGACAAATTTGAAAATCGCGTCGGTAGTGATCATATTTTTTTGGGGGGCCTCGCAAATTTGAAAATGTTAACACCCCCCCCCCCACCCCCTTGGGGAGCCCATTTCCCCAAAAGGTTAAAAAAAAATAACGTGTTTTTACACTTTTTTTCTCGGGGGGGGGGGGGCTGGGTCCCCTGTCCCCCCCCCCCCCCCCCCCTGGATCCGCCACTGGAGTGGCCATTTAATATTACAATTACCAGGAACGGAGCCATCTAATCAATGGCACTGATCAGGAATATACTTTAACGCCCTCTTTTGAAAATTTCCTTGACGGAAATACATCTTTTCTGTAACGTTAAGATTTTAAACGCGTTTTTCTTAAACTTTTGATTTTGTGAGGATCGCAGCCAATTTGCATGCCATCTTCTAGTACAATAAGCACGACCAGGTATTTAATATACTGCAGGTTTCTTAGACGGAAATCCAGCTTTCCAATAATGACTCAACTTTAATCATGTTTCCCAAACTTTTGGCTTTGTGGCTCGGCGAGGGGTGGGGAAAGGGTTAGAAGGCGTAACAAAATAAGGGTTCTTACCATTTTCACAGTTGCTTCCTTCCCATCCATCCGTACATTGACATGTGTAACTATTCAGTCCATCCAAGCAAGCTCCTTCGTTTTGACAAGGATCGTTGACACAGTCATTTTTGTCTGCAAGGTAAAAAGGGGATATAACCTTTTTAACAAATTATTCTTTTAACAAAATACTGATTAGGATAATTAATATTTGCAATGTGAGGGGCTACACTTGAAGAAACAGACTGAACTTTAAACATGAAAATAAATCAACTTAGTTAAAGTGCAGTAAAATAAAAAATGTCTAATCTATTTTTTTCAATAGCTACACCACGTAGAGTGTATGATTTTCACCTACCGTGCTCGCAGTAGCCACAAATAACTAATTTGAGCGAGAGTGTAATATTAATGTTAGTCATAACTGGTGAAAGTAGTTTATGTAGACTTAAGTGAATTAAACTGGAGCTCACTTACCTATTTCGCATTTGATTCCTTCCCATCCTAGAGTACATTCACATGTGTAACTGTTATTCCCGTCTTGGCAAATTCCTCCATTAACACAAGGATCGCCAATACATTCATTTGTGTCTGCATAGTGTAAAAAAAAATGATATCACTTTTGTATCCAAATACATGTATAATTAGTTGTATGTATTGGTCGCATAAAAACATCGAAATTATATGGTAATACATATTTGTAAGCTTTATGCAACCTTGTTCTGTTTTAAAGACATTTTCTCGATGTTTACTTACTTACACCGCAGGTGGACCCTTCCCAGCCCTCATTGCATGTGCACGTATAGCTGTTCAACCCGTCCACACAGACTCCGCCATTTTCACACGGTTCATCGGAACATTCATCGATGTCTGAAAAAGTAAGGAAACATTCCAGTCTTAAGCTTCTAAATTTCATATTTCTTGATAACGATTTATCGTCCTTAAAGGGACTTGGTAACATTGTTCAGATGAGAGATAGTGGTGCTAAGGTAGTGACTTCAATGCTAGATGTACAATTAAAGATAATCTGGAAATTTGAGTGAAAACGGACCATTATTTATGGTACATGTACAATTAAATCGGGAAAAACTGATCTGATCGATTCCTTAATTCTCCCAACTATATTATTACAATTTAATTACATTTTAGGTGAATGGAAATCTCACAAAGCAATAAAATGGCTCTACATTCCATTCCAGACATTAAAGTGTTGACAGATTTTTTGTATAGCCTGTTTTATGTCTTTTTTTCATGGAAAAAACGGATGGGAAAATTCAAAAATGGTTGGGAAAATATACTGTTAATCACTGTTAGAGGGTGTCGTACATCGACGGCTTCAAAGAAAACCATAGATTTCTTCGTTGTTTGAGAATTTTTCAGGATTTGTTTTATGTCAGAGGGTTAGTACAGTAGAAGGAATATAGTAAGTAACATTTTATACAAAAATTAAGCAATTTTTTCATCAACCTTCAACAATGTTACCAAGTCACTTTAAAGGGAATACAAAGTTTTGGGAAATTTAGAAAATTGGCTGGATAGTGATTCTTTACAATTTTGATATATTTGGATGCCCCTATGGATGTAATATAATCACTAGAAAATGTAGCCCCTAAAACACTTCTGCTTTCGAGAAAAATTGAATATCAACATTTACAAGTACTCCCAGTAAATGTTGATGAATTTCAAATAGCGCCTACGTCCATGCAATAGTAGCTGTCACCATGAAAACCTCTGAATATGTAGTTGTGATATATAATTTCCGAACCGGAATAGCCATTAGGTGATTTTAGTCAAGAAATATTGTTGTACAGCTAAAATAATATCTTTACCTTGAGAGGGAGCTATACAACATAAAGAGTTTATTATTTACAATTTCATCACTTTAGACTAGATTTCAACCGCGACAACGATCACTGAATATTGTAGGATCGCATATGCTTCCAATATGTTTATTTGAACCAAATTCATGACCCCCATACCAAAACTTTGTATTACCTTAAATTTGTAATATGCATTAAATATAACACTTCATTATGATGATAATAATGATGGTAGTGATTAACGTAATGATTATGATTTGGAGGAGGAGAAGGAGGAAGAGGAGGGGGAGGAGGAGAAGGAGGAGGAGGAGGAAGAGGAGGAGGAGGAGGAGAAGGAGGAGGAGGAGAAGGAGGAGGAGGAGGAGGAGAAGGAGGAGGAGGAGAAGGAGGAGGAGGAGGAAGAGGAGGAAGAGGAGGAGGAGGAGAAGGAGGAGGAGGAGAAGGAGGAGGAGGAGGAGGAGAAGGAGGAGGAGGAGGAGAAGGAGGAGGAGGAGGAGGAGGAGGAGGAAGAGGAGGAGGAGGAGGAGTAGGATTCGCGGTATTTTGCTGTTGTCGAAGTAATATTCCAGTTAAGACATTGGTTTTATTTTAAAAGGTCCTCCAATAAATCTTCATCTAAACAGTCCGTTTTAAATAGGTGAGTTTTTAAGCATGGTTTGAATATTTTAGATATTGATTGACATCGAATTAAATTATGTTTTTATGTTAGTTTCTACATGTTCTAAGGGAACTTAAAATGTGACTTACCAACTCCACAATTGGTGCCTGCCCATCCATCCCCACACTGACATGTGTAACTGTTTATTCCGTCCAAGCAAATCCCATCGTGCAGACAAGGTTGGCTCAAGCATTCATTCAAATCTAAAGGAGAAAGATTAATTCAATTTATTTAGGGATGGACCAATCTATCTAAATTAGATTTATATTTTTACATGTAAATACACTACAAAGGCACAAAATATACATCTGTATATCTCCAACCGTGTGTAACTATTTATCCTGTCTAAGCAAATCCTATGATTTTGACAAGGCTGTCATGTCAAAGAGAGATTTGAAGAAAAAAAATAATTACAGATATATTCATTAAATTTAGATTAGAAAAATACTACATTTACTAGAATGGCTTTTTGTAAAGTGTAATGTGTAAGCCAATGTGATTTAGATTGCTACAATACAATTGAGAACAATCCGAGAATGTTTTTGTTGTTTCTCAGAGGAATTTTCGGGAATATTTCCTCCCTTTTCACCAAATCTTGGATCCCCTCCTCTTTCTAATGAAACCGAACACAATTCATAATTTTATTCACTTATTAGACAGTTAACTCCTGCCCATCCGGCCACGCACTGGCACAGATAACGGTTGACGTCATCAGTACATGTTCCTCCATTACGACAAAGGTTGCTGGCGCACTCGTTGAAGTCTGAAAAAACAAAAGATCTTAAAATCATAGAAAATCGTATAGCAGTGGAAGAGCATCAGTTAAGACTGAAGAGTGCCAAAGTAATGATGTTGT